GAGTGTGGCATACCAGATGCAGTATATGTTTCACAGTACTTCAGTAAGCAAGCAATATATCATACATGGAGCGGCGAGATTTATGGGTTCGGCATAGCTGGGTAGTTCACAGAGACTAACGATGAAGTACTCAATATTCCTGACACATCGAAGCTCCGAGGCAAGGCTGGAAGGAGGAAGACTCGTCGCATCCGCAACGATATGGACGAGTCGGAGGCTGGCAGGGTGAAGCGTTGCAGCAAATGCGATGAACGTGGGCACACCTACAAGCATTGTCCTAAAGACAAGGAGAAACCTAGTGCGGCAGAGGCAGGACTATCAGGATCAACAGCAGATGGAGCTCGCCCTACGGATGAAGGCACTACCTCCACTCGACCACGTCCTAGGCGTCGTCGTGCCACGTCTGGCTACATGGTGTAGTTCTTATGTTCTATGTTGGCATGTGGCTTTGCTTGTAATTTGTTTCGAACTTATCGATGTGTTTATGTTTCGTCGTGAAATGTCAGACTTCGGCATGTCATGTCTTTAGGTCTCGTGATGTAACGTCAGACTAAGGCACCTAGTGTCTCTCTTTCTTTCTATCTGGGCAGCTGAGAGGATTGCGATCGGCCGCCCTGAGGTGGACCAGCACGCGTACAAGGAGTCACTGTACGCGGAGCGACCAGAGGTCGACTACCCTACGATAGGTACTCTGTGGTGCCGTCGTCAGGTACGTTGCATCGATCTTCTCGTATTGTTAAGTTAATTGCTAAGTTCATTGTACATCACATCGATCGTCTCGTATTGCAGCGCCGATGGGCTCACGTCCAGGTTAGGCGGTCGTATCCTGAGTTTGTTATGGAGTTCGACCGCCTTCTGCCGACTGACGTCGTGTGGGAGCCCTACAGTGCCGCGGCTACCCAGGCTCGTGCGCCGTTGGGTCTGTCCACAGTCTGCACCAGGGACCAGGCGTACTGGATGACTACGGTTCCGATGGTCTTCGACATCTGCGTTGAGCCTCATGCCCCTTTCCGCGTGATGCGGCAGTTCGGCTTCTGTCAGCCCTTTCCAGTACCGTTTCCGACGACCGTCCCAGCTGCTGTTCATCGGTAAGATCTTTCACTACGCTTTGAGTTGTTGCATTAAAATCTACATGTCCATAATAATTTGCAACATCTGTCGATTCACACTAATATGACACATTAATTCGCAAGTACTCGCGCAAGGGTCAGCAGTCAGCTGGCGACTGGCCCGCCAAGTTGGCGACTTTTGTTGAGGACTGGTTGCTCACAACCGAGGAGGTCGTGGACCACGAGGGAGAGCCACACACTGAGGAGGCGTACCAGGCCTACCTACGCTGGTACCAGCCACGTACCCGTACTAGGGTCACCTTCGCTCCCTTGGAGCAGCAGCCCCACGTTGCGAGCACTAGAGACCTCTACGCCAGGCACCGCGACCAGGACTTCGCTCGTGCTGTGAGTACCATGCATCGCACCATTCCTTTATGTTTTCATGTCTTTCTCTTCATCAAATTTTACGAATATGTACGAAAAAATTAACCACCAATGTTTAGGCGCGGGGATTCCGGTACCCGTAGAGGAGCACCTGACGACATACACGCGGATGGTGGAGTCGATACGCTCGATTCTCCGAGTGCTCACATGTCGTGCAGATGACGTTGCTCGGGCAGACGCAGCTGTACAGCGGCCACCCGTACCGACTGGTCCCCGTCCAGCTATGCACGTTCCTAGGCCGACTCCCCCTCCGCACGGAGGTAAGTATTTTTAAGGATTTTTCTGTACATGCCTTGCACATATATGTGAGCCGTTTCACTTGCCGATTGCTTCAGGGTTTCGTGCACCGTTCAGCACCCCGCCTTCCTCGGCTAGGCCCTCTGTTGTGCCCCCCACAGGTACTTAAAAAAACAACATTACTTCGACAATCAATTTACATGCATTTTATGTCTTAGCTTACAAGGGTCCCGTTGTCCATGTGTAGGTTTCACCCAGTTCGCTATGACGCAGGCTGCCCACTTCTCCCAGGCTGCAGCGTCAGTGTCTCAGGCAGCTGCGTCGACCTCGCACTCAGTGCAGTTCTGGCAGTACACCGGGACTTCGTCACAGGCAGCCGGCACGTCGAGTCAGGGTCCACCACTGGACCATGCTGGGACCTCGTCGGACCACTTGCTGCCTTCCACCTTGCTCTTCGACATCACTGACTTCGATTTCGCTTCAGGCTAGACAGAGGATGTCATCGGCCCCTCACAGCTGAGAGGGGCACCGCCGGTGCAGACGCAGGACCAGGCGCAGGCCACTCCGCCGCCAGACACTCGTGCTACCCGTGCTGTGCCACCGGATCGTTTCACCTACTCCCAGGACCACGTGCGAGCACAGGCCCGGAGGACCAAGCGTGGTCGCGGCGCGGGGCAGGGCCAGTAGAGCAGTCTTCTCTTTATTTATTTGCTTCACTTTCCAGTACTGTATGCTTGTGTCATGACTACGTTGTTGTTATATGTGCACGATACCTTTCGGCGCATGCACGACTACTTTCTGCCGCACCGATGCAGCCTCCTTTATTCGCGTGCGATACGAGTATTTGCCCACCATTTGCCGCATACGACCAATGTAACTTTCGGCGCCGATCAGGCATGTAACTTTCGGCGCCAATCAGGCGTACCCACCATGCCTCGCCACGTTCACATGTCAGGGATATCACTCGATTTTTTGCGCCTATATAAGTCGCCTTAACGAGTGAGGCCTCACAATCTTTCAGAACTCAGTCACATTCAGTACTCTCTTCCCCCACTTGCTTCATTACAAATCCTACCGGCTTTCGTCAATGGCTAGACGCCGGGGTGTTGAGGATCCGAACTGGCGTAGCGATCCTTGTGTATACCTACTACCACCTTGGTGCCAGCGTCCTCTTTGCCTATGCGGTGATCGATGCCAACTAATGGCTTCGAGGAATCCTGATATTTGAGGAAGGCGCTTTTTTAGGTGCCCTAACTATGACCGTGAGGTATTTTATTATCTGCATATGCTTATTCATTCCGTATGGGCAATCGCTTTATTCTTCGTAACACTACTCTATTCGGCAGACCCGCACTACGGCTTGCGCATACATCGAGTGGGTCGATACAGAAAATCCTGTTCTCGACCTAACCACTTGTTTACAAGAAGGTCGCTGGTATTTCGCATCCGAAAGTACTGAGCAATACTTACAGAGAAAAGCGGCTTATGAACGACAATGTCGTGAACAACAGAGCGACTGGCGGGTGCTAACTACGGCACTCCCTCCATGGGATGCCCATCCAAGATGCAGGTGTGGTGATCGTGGTCAGGTTCTTCGTTCCATAAAGCCTACAACATTGGGTCGAAGGTTTTTTGTTTGTCCAAATATTCTTGACGACGATTTCATGGTAAGAATATTTTGATTACATGAATCCTTATTTTCTCACAACATTTACTAACTTTGCTCGCTTTACATCTATTCTTTCCTCCTAGGAACCACCAAGGAGATATCAATACAGAAAACGGATAGACACCAGAAGGGTTCTAACTCCACCTAGCCGTGTTGAGCAGCTTGAAACTACCAGAGCAATATAGGGTTACTAAAGCGCGTTTTGAGAGAGGAGAGGGATCCTCACGTAGGGGTTAGCTATTATCGGACAACTTGGCATATTGAAATTTCTACTGTCATGCTTCCTTGTCCCATTACTACATCGTCGTTATGTTCAACTATTGCACTACCTCCCTCCTAGTTCGAATCTAATATTATCTATGTAACCGCAATGGAAATAGTTGTATCATGTTCAAATTGTACTACTATTTCTTCATGTTACATAATTCTCCTTGTTTAAATCCATATAATGTTTATACGACCGAAACTGCGATAGGCCTATTAATTATCCGAGTACTAATACGTCGAATAAGTTACAAAATAATACCTTACTTAACATATGAAATTGCGAAACAACCAACTTCAATACATTTTTATAACAATATTAACAAGTTTTACCAATAAATACTTCTTTATTTATTATTAACATAACATAGAAAAATCGTTTGGTCGTACTTTTTGCATCTGGGTCCCTTGCCGCCCTCTACTGGGGCGGCGAGGGGCCCAAATGCAAAAAGTACGAGGGCAACCTCTTTATGGGCGGCAAAAATTGCAATTAGCCCCTTGCCGCCCAGGGTAATTGCAATTTTGGCCGACGGCGGCGGACGGCGCGGTCGACCCGCCATCTGCCACGTCAGCTTGCCGCCCACCACTGGGGCGGCAGGGTCTATTTTTCCAATTTTTTTGGCCGATAGATTATTTCCGTAAATATTAAAAAAATCTAAAAATGAAAAAAATTCCGTGCGTTCCAACTACTTGGGCCAGAACCAAACGCTAACCCACAGTCGAATTAGCCCAACTTTAATAGGCCAATACGCTAGCTCGGGAAGGGGTCGAAAAGTCCAATTTGATCAAAAAGTGTAACGACACCGGCCCACAGTCGAAGTGGCCCAGTTGGCCAACGCAGCCCACATTAACAACGCCAACCCCACCAGAGCACGCGCTGCCTAGCCCCAAGTCCCCCAACCCTCGCCGCCGCCGCCGCCGCCTCCTCGCCCCCGAAGCGTCCCCGCCGCCGCCGCCGCCTCCCCGTCGGGAAGGATGACCCTGTCCATGAAGCCGCGGAAGGTGCTGGTGCGGAAGGCGATGAAAGACCGCAAGAAGAAGAAGGGCCCCACCAAGCCCACCCCATGGAAGTGCCCCCTCTGCCACGAGCTCTTCCTCGGGGTGCGCGAGGGTAACCGCCACTTCGAGGAGTGCGAGGCGGCGACCAAGGCCGCGCGCGCCGCCGACCAGAGGAAGATGGACGTGGAACGCGCTCGCCAAGAGGAGCTCGTGGGATCCAAAAAGGCCGCCCCACCGAAGGAAGGTAGAGTCTCGTTTTCGTTCGCGTTATTTGCATCGCAATGCATGGATGAATGAATTAGACTTTCTGGAGAACAATCCCGCAATGGATGGATGAATGAATGAATTAGACTTTCTGGAGAACAATCTGATAAATTAACGAATTGAACCCGCGTAGTTTTCAGGCTATGAAAACTTTGCTGCGAAATTCAAACGAATGTTCCCCAACATAGATAGGAATTCCATGCAGACATTTTTGACAAATATTAGCATGCTGGGTGTATAAAATATATACTGCACTGAGCAAATCTTAAAAATCACTCTTTTCAAGACCTTACATAGTTGGACGCACCTGGACCTGCTGCAAAGAATTACTAGTGGGTTATATCTGCTGATTTGTTTTAGAACCCATACATTTACCTTTCCGTAGTACCTGGCAAGCTTGTGCAACACAAATTTGCAAACCTTCTCATCGAATTTGACTTGCAAATAAGCCTTTCGTGCCACCTATCTATAGAAACACAATTTTCTTCATGAGACTTATTTTTATTATCAACATAATGTGGCATACACTATACTCTAATGGCTCAAGAAATCGTTAAAGACCATGCAAGAGTATCAGAGCAACTTTACATATTGCCATTACTGTGCAAATGGAAAAAATACCGTTGCTTAAAGTGCTGAAAATATCTGTGCATTGTGATATAAAAATCAATTAAAAGTACAAAGGCACTCACTATTAGAGTTCAATATTTTATCTCCAAGATTCAGTCTCAATGCACTTCACAATGGTATTGCACTCCCAAACACTTTGCGTTGTTGAGGAAGGAAGATAATTTAGTAGTAACTCTTTCAATTATTAGAAGCATTAATCAGTTAACATAAGAGGACAAATTGGACCGCATCGTTTTCAGGCTATGTAGAGTTATTCAAACGAATGAGCAATTATGCTATTTCCTTTAGTTTCCCAACATGGATAGGACTGCCATGCAGACAGTTTTGACAAATATTTACATGTTGGGTGTATGGAATGGATACTGCACTGAGCAATTCCTAAATATCTCTCTTAAGACCTTACACTTTTGGACGCACCTGGACCTGCTGCAAACAATTGTTAATGGGCTATTTCTGCTGATTTATTTTAGAACCCCATGCATTTTATTAAGTATACATAACTAGATACATATCACATGAGTTATTCCCAAGGGAGAGTCAACTGCACGTGCAGGCAGTTTTGCAAAGAGGCCCCTTGAACAGCCAGTACAACTGCCGCTGTTAGATTTTGCTGTTAGAATTTGTGTTTCTTTGCAGTTCAAATCTAGTTTCAGCTGCTGTGTACTGGTTAGAATGTTAGATTCAGGCTGGTTTCAGCTTCTGTGTACTGGCTGGTTTCTGATGGTTTATGTAAATTATATCACCATATATCTCTTTAAAAACACATATGCAGCTAAAAGACCTAAAATATCAAGAGAAATAAATAACAGTCCCAATAATTACAGAGTATATGTAGTTTTTGTGCTTTTAACTTTTGATAGATTATAAAATAATATTATGAAACACCATTTGGATATTAAAGTTGACTATATTCTTTAGAAAAAAAAAGACAATTAATTTGTAGATTCCAATCAACTAGGTGCCAAAACGAGAATAAACTATGTAATCAAACCTGTCTCATGCATCCTATATGCATGCACATATTAGTTCTATGTATATATCCATGTATTAAACAGGTGAATCTATTATTTTCATTTATTAGATTAGATCTATTAAAGTAATTAATCTCTCTCTCCTAATTTCCCACGTATTTGCAGGAGAAAAATAAATATGTACTGTTCTTCCGAAAAACGCATACGTATGTATATATGCATGTACAAGAGACTACTACTTGCCAAAAAAACACATAGACGTATTTGGATCTAGAAAAAAAAACTATTAACAATTTCCTCCTAACCCTTAAATTAGAACTAAAACGTTGTCATGTTTGTATATATGTACATATGATCAGTCTACCCCTCTAATGTGACTCATTTCATCGCATTTATTTCTTAGGGTAGTTCACTAGGATATATCTATATTTTAAGAGTTCAAAGGCGGACTGACTATACTTCATACGACATAAAACTAATGTTAAAACATTCAGATTTCATATATTACAATTAAAAACAGATCGCTAAGGCTACAACCAAACAAAACACAACATAATTTACTAATATGATGCTGCAAACTTTTAAAAAATAACTTGTTTAAAATAAAATGCAATTTTCAGCCAATAGTGAACCAGACGTTATAATAGTGCTTCACACTGGTCTTGAGGGCACGGCTATGTCGATATGGGACCCATGTATCAAGGCATAAGAGAAGAAAACCTTCGTGGCTAAGGTCGGCTTCACCCGTTAGAGGAGCATTTATATCTAATTTTTAATGATTTTCTCCCATGAATTGGTAGAAGCGATACATTAAAATATTTTTATATATACTGATTACTGAAACACAAATGAAACATGAACACTTTGGTTTGAAGTGAAGATGAACTTTTTTTACAGTATTATTGATGTATTAGGGTTTTTTTTGGTATGGATGCAATTCCTTCTATTAAAAAGGCACCCAACTTTCAAGACAAAATAATAAATAGTGGTGATAGTCGTGTTTACATATCACAGGACAAAAAACCGGGACAATTAATTTCTTATTGAATATGAGAGATATTATTATCATTTGGTATATCAAAACATGTGGTCTAAATTTTTCTTTGTATTTAATTATAAGGTAATCTACGATTGTTATAGTGAATATGGTGCAATAGGATTTCTTTAGCATTATTTTAATAAATACTCCCTCCGTCCCATAATAATTGCATTTCTAGGGAATTAGAGACATTAACAACAAACACAATTTACCACAATAACCCTATTTAATAACTACATTGCATGCACATATTCCATATATATACTTTGTTAAAAGGAAGGTTGAGGCACACATTCCATATGTAAACTTAATTAAAAGGAAGGTTGGGATAGAAATTCCATTTGTTGGGTCTCATCTTATCAGAAATACAATTTTTGTGGGACAAAATTTGAAGGGTAGAAATACAATTATTATGGGACGGAGGTAGTAATAAATATGAGGTTCTTATACTTAGTATGGACTTCTTTTAGCAATCTTTTATAATAAATAATCTGTGCATTTGCGTGGGCTTCCTTTCCAGTTTTAAGTTAAAGTCACCCCCACATATTTCCAGTAATAAAAGTTACATACATAAATAAGATTCCCACGCAAAAGCATGGGCTACCTTCCTGGATAACTAACTATATCTATAAGTTTTGAACTTATAATACTTCTGAAATTTTGAACTTCTGTAAATTGAAGCGAATTTTGAACTTCTGTAAATTGAAGCGGTGACTAATTATATCAATTATATCTTATCTGCAGGTATTTGAGAGAGTCATAAAGATGTAGAAAACTCTAGAATCAAGTTAGCGAAGGAACTATCAACTAAGTCAGGTTCTATGACTTTTGACTTTGATGTTATGGTGTGATTGGGATTTGTAATATCATGCAGTACCACACATTTATCACAGTTACGCCGTAACCTTCTGAGTTTTATACCAGTCACCGCAATATCGTGAAAACCCTGGGTGTGATGTTATATACTCCTTTGATATCTCGCTACATGTTTTTTCCAAACCTATTTAAGCAATACTAAATTCCCAATTATGTTGCTTTGGTTATAAGCGTGGTCTTAAAAATACAATGTTGACCACTAATGTCAATCATAGCATGTTTATTTGATCGATCTGAAAAACTTATAACTCCTAACCGAACTTACACATGGGAATTTTTTGTATATACGTAATTTAAGTAGATAAACCGAACTGAAATACCTATGTTCAAAGGTTTAGAGCTTTATCTAACACATACCTAATATGATATTAAGGATAAGAGCAGATGGCTTTGATATAGAGAGAACGCCATAACAATCAGCACACCTGCACATCAGAAGATAGTTTAGTGTGAAGTGCAGTGGAAAATAGCTCAAACAAAATCAACCCGCACAGAATCATGTGTAATTTTAAAATACTAGGACAAATCAATTAAGCATCCAATTGTGGCGTACCTTTACTATTTCATTAACTTATTAAAATGCTGAAGGCCAGAAATGCCAATATGGAACAATATAAACCCCTCACCAGCCACCAGACTAATGAGTACCCCTTTAGCCCCAGGGAAATAATAGGGGAATCCACAATACGTTACAACATCTTCAACCTTTCAAGCACATCGATTCAGGGGAATTACATCACATATGAGCATGGCAAGAAAGCCATGCTAAATCCATCTTAACAAAATATTTTTGTTATTACAATTTCCACATGTTGCTGAAGATGAATTGGCTAAAGCTATGTAACATGACGTGATTCAATCACTTACAAAATGCACGTTAGGATGTCATATGGGTACTTATTAGCATGCTAGCCTCCTAAGATCCCAGTCTTTCTTTTATGCTCTTAAGTGGAACAAAAAGACATATTGGTTCAATATAAGACCATTAGGCCTATAAGACTACTACTATACATATAATAGTGAAGTGACCCGTTTTAAAAATTAGGCTTATTCAAATACGATACATTTGTATCATGACTACATCAGCAAGAAATAGACAAACTATATTTGCACATAAAAATATTTTTAAGAAAAAATATAAAAACAAAAATAACTAGATTAAATTTTAGAAGACCACAGGTTTTGAGGCACGTGTAACACAAAACCTCAGATATTACGATTTGTTTCAAGGAAACCCAGGTTTTGAGGTATAGCATTTCAAGAAACCCCATGTTTATATCACATACTGATAATTCTATTATTATATATAATATTTTTAGTATATGTTTGCATTGGTATGCTCAAAATACATAACCATCCCGTGTACTTCATATTTTTCCTTACTTTTGCATTGTACGATTGAATAAACACAACCATACTAATAATGACATATTAACCGGTTTACTTATATAGATAAACATTAATCATATTACCATAATAATGCTTGTAAAAATGAGGCAAACATGCATATATATACTCACTAATATCTCGTTATTTTTTTGCAATTAATATGCATAAATATATTAGACAAATAACAATATAAGCTTAAACATGAGATTTCGTGGAACATTTTTCCCCAAAACCTAGGGTTCTTCATCACAAATTGTAATGCATGATGTTTTGTGTTATAAGTGTCGCAAAACCTGGGGTTTTTGTGAAATTTACTCAAATAACTACATTTTTGGCTATCATAGAAGATCCAATGGACCCGTATTGCATTGCGTTGGATGCACCGTCACCAAGATCTTGTTTCATAGGAACAAACAAAAAAATAGAACGATATTTTTCATTGAGACCACCTTCCCCAAGACAAAAGAGAGAACTAGGAAATGCTAGACTGTACGTGCTACAATCGTGTTCTGCCATCTCTAATCGCTAAGTAGTACGTAAGAAATGAAAGTATATATGCCCAGTTTTATAGGATACCGATGAAAATCTGAAGGTTAACTGAATGTAAGGATTTGGTCGTAAGGGCCTAGGCTACCAAATCATGACCTAACACAGAACATGAATAACAAATAGCTTGACAGAACAGATCAAAAAAACAAAATGCCAATAAAGGAACAAAACGGCGGCAGTCAAATGCAGAGAACAAGAAAATAATTTGTGACAAATGAAGCCTATCATCAAAACAATAAATTCCACAGTAGACCCAAACAGAGTGTCACCCATTACCATTAGTGTAGTCGATAAATTTTCTTCTGAAGAAGATGAGAAAAATACATATATTGTAATAATAAACACGTAGAAAACTTGAGCACAACGCCTCCTGCCATGGCTGATAACATGGATAGCCAGATGAAAGGGAGAACATCATCTCGTCGAACCCAAATCTGCACATAAACAAAATAATAATAATTTACCGGATATGAAAGGAAAAGAAAAGCCAAACTAGTTGAAACATAAACTAAGGATAAACTTGAAGGGTCAAGTGACTTTTTCAGAGTAAAAGAAGTATACTGTGAAACGTATGACCCTGCGACTTGTTGAGTAGGAGTGCATTGCCAAATACTGGAACTGAATCTCCCTTCTACGGTTAGCTCGGCAGAGAGGGGTAGACCGGGCGGGTAGTCCAGATGGCTTAGATCTAGTCTTCTCCGTTAAACTCATCACCGCAATACCATCGCCGGGAGCCGATTTGCGGCGGATGCAACCGCCGGCAACGGTGCCAGCCGAAGCCCCTGGCATCGTCTCGCCTATAGGGAGCTGAGCCAGCCACCGATTTCAACAGATCTGTCATAAACTAACACCGATTAGAACGGATCTGTCATAAAAAATCATTCATCTGGCGGAAAGAGACTAACCATCCTGATAATATCCTTGGCCGTGAGACCGAGTCAGCGCCGATAGACCGGCAAACTTCCGTCTACGGCCAAGTCCCAAGTCGATCTGGCTCCGGACGGATCATCTAGCCCGGGGTATGGATCATCCATGGATGGACGGCGACAAACGCGCGCGGCCACCGACGCACCCGGCGCCGGCCGCCGAGCCCATGTAGACGGCTGAGAGTTGACCGGCGCTCAGGACTGCCACCGGCACGCACAGGCGCCAAGGAACCCTCAAACCAGACGCTCGCCGGAGCGCTTACAAGCGCGGAGTCGACGTGCAGGTTTCGTCGGGCGGGCGAGCGGGCGGCGGCGGCGGTGAGGCGCGGCTAGGGCTCGCGGAGTCGCGAGAAGAGCACGGCGGCGGCTAGGAGTTGGAGACAGGGTTGGGGGTGGGGAACTGGGGATTCCGCGTCTATCGTTTCTTGACCTCGCCTCGCGTCGCGTCGAGTATGGACGGTAAAAAACGTAAAACTGCAGGTCATTGGAACATGGGCCACGAGTGGACTCCTTTTTCGGGAAGCGTCACGTACCTTTTGGCTGTCAGATGGCCCAGGCCCAATTAGATTCTCTTTTTCAAAGCAACTGTAATGTTCCGCTTTTTCAACGTGCTTTGTCGCATCGTCATCCGGCCAGTCCACGTACAGGAAATTAAAATTTCCGCCGTCCTCGGCCCCGTCACGCTCCACGCCGCGCTCGCCGGTGCCGGCGTGACAATCTCACAATCCTCTCGAGCCAACGTACGGCGTGCTGGTTTACGGCTAGGAGTGGACAGAAAAAATCCAAATCGAAAGACCGAGACCGAGAAATTCAATCATCAATTCGGCTCCCCTCTCCTCTCAGGTCCAACCGAAGGAGGGAGGGGGGATGGCGGCGGCTCCCCTCCCCTACCCTCCCAGATCTAGCCGAAGGAGGGAGGGAGGAGGGTGGCAGCGGCTCCCCTCCCTTCCCCTAACAGATCCAGCCGAAGGAGGGAGGGGGGAGGGTGGTGGCGGCGGGCAGCAGCAGTGCTGGGACGGCGGCGACGGCGAGCCTACGACGACGATGACGGCGGTTGTTGATGGTGCCCGTCGACCTCGCCGTACCTGCACGCCGGTTGCCGTCTACAATTTGTTGATTTGTTGCTTTCAATTTGTATATTGTGGATTTCTTGTAGATGAACTTGGGAATCTATAATATATGAATTTGTATTGTGGATGAAATGGTTGATTGTGTGCATAAGCTTGGGAAATCTGTCTAAGATTTGGATCCAATCCCAGAATTTTTTGAGTTTGAAGCTGGGATTTGGATCCCTTGTTTCTTTTTTTTTTGTTTGGGAAAAAGGGTTTTCACTAGCGGGCCTCTTAGGCTAACGGATGTAATAATTAATCAGATCTTCGCTAGTGGTGCCTCTAAAGGGACCGCCAACCAAAATCCGTTTTCTCTAGCGGGCGTGTTGCGCTAGTGAAAATCATTATCACTGGCCTTTGGTTACAAGCGGCTAGCAAAACCGCTAGCGAAAAACCAATTTTGGTCGCCAGGAAAAATGCTTTTCATAGTAGTGCTAGCTCCTGGTCGGACGTCGGCCGAGTCCGGGTACACTGAACACGATGGTGGCGATGCGCCACGTCAAGTGGTAGTGCGGGAACATGCCGTACGCGCGTTGGTCATACGGTCTGGTTGGCTGTGCCTGACGCACACGTGATCTCTGACATGTGGGACAGTGGGGTCATGTATCTAAGGCCGTGTTTAGTTCCAAAATAGTTCTTCAAACTTCCAACTTTTCCATCACATCAAAACTTTCCTACACACATAAACTTCCAACTTTTACGTCACATCGTTTCAATTTCACCAAACTTCTATTTTTGTTGTGAACTAAACACAGCCTAACTTGAGGAATAGGATTTCAATCCACACCGGACCGAACCGGCACTTTGGCAGTGGGCCAGTCAAGTGAACATGGAGGAAAATGCTGCACGGTGAGGAGCCAGCTGAGGAGAAGTGTAGCGCCTTGCATGGTGTTGCAACTAAGGCTCTCTTCGTTCCCCAGGGTTCACAACTCCCCACACTCGTTTTCCACACGCACGCTTTTCAAACTACTAAACGGTACGTTTTTTAAAAAAAGTTTCTATACGAAAGTTGCTGAAAAAAATCATATTGATCTATTTAAAAAAATAGCTAATACTTAATTAATCACGTGTTAATGTGAATATCGTTTTACATGCCGGGGAGGAGGGGTTCCCCAACACAGCCTAACCTGCCGGACAGCCTGCAGCTGCATGGTTAGCTTGCTTGCCCTGTGCGTGCAAGCGAGACTGCGGTGTGTGGGACTGTGGCAGTGGCGGCGTGGCGGCGTGCGAGGATACGATGCGGGCATGCAGCTGCCCCTTCACAAATCACACACCATTGGAGTACACTATTAGAGCGTTCACGGTTCGTAGTGCATGAGTGCATCGAGCTGTCGTTCGACCTGAACTCTTCATGTCGGTGTTTATGTTTGATTTGACGCCACTTTTGCGGGTGTGCCTACCAAATTGAAGACCGTGTAACCAAAGATGGTCACCCATTCTTCAGCCCCTTCAAGGGTTGGTGACGTGGGTTGTCAGGAGAGAAGGCATGAGGCACATTGTGGAGGATGTGGCTTCGCTGCGTCGTTGCCCGCACCACTTGGGAAGGGAGACGGAGAAAACAGAGCTCGTCTCGGTGGCTGAAGTGGGAGCCCGTCGTCCCCTCCTCTTTCATGTCCCCGCTCTACGCCGCACCGATCGAGGAGCTTGCCATCGTCCCCCTCTCCACGCTGCCATGAAAAGTTGTGCCCCTGACTCCGCGCAACCGCGGGGCTCGTTGCCATCCTCCGCTGCCCGCCACCGACCTCGTCATCGACTTCTGTTCCTGCAGAGAGCTCAACGACTGTCGCCTTGATCTGGAGGCTGTAGCAACGGAGGACGCTTGCGACGAGGAGGACAAGATGGTTGTGGCGCCCTGATCTGGTTGACGTCAAAGCTCCATGGCAAACCTCGAGGTGGTCGCCGGAGGGGGAGGGGAAGGCAATAGGGGGAGTGGGAGGGAAAGCAGACGGAGGGGTTGGAGGAGCCGGCCTCGGCTTGCTCGCCGGTCGTGCCTAGCCTCAATCCACACCCGCCGCCGAGGCCATTCCATGGACACCACCGCCGAGACCTGCCTCGGGGTCCTTCGCCGCCGACGACATGGGGATTGGTAGGGAGAGTAGAGGCGCCGGCCAGGTCGTCAGCATGAACAGAGGAGAGGGAGTGGCCATGAGGATAAAGCAGAGAGGGGAAGATGGATTTTATCTTCTTTTCTGGATTCTAGGTTGTTGCAAATTTTGGACCTCCACACAAATTAAAGAAAATATGAGAACTGAAAAAAATGCTAGGGGCTAAAATATAAAATTAAAGTCATTCCTAGAGCCACTTACAATGTGAAGAATTCAAATTTTGTACACGTAACCCTAGCTTACGTGGCACTCCGAGGCTCCTCGTATGAGGGCAACGTATTGTGAACACCCTTATAATGCTTTTGTACTTCAGGTGTACGATAACATATATGAATATTCATGCGTGTATTTGCATAGGCTCATTTTTCTGAATGTGCAAATGAGGGCACTCCCAACCCTCCACATCAACCAGTTCTCATGACATTTAAGTATATTGCCACATAAGAAAGAGCCGAGGTAAGAGAGTTAACGAGGAGAGGAGAAAAATGAAAAAAAAATCGTTTCTCATGTAAATAATTAGCTCTACATAAAAACTAAGAATAAAAACAAAGGGATGCGTGGATAAAGGAGATACTAAATGATAGGTGTGATTGGATGATAATTTATTTTCAAGAAACCATCCATTGAGTTAGTTTCTACAAATAGTGTTTGTACGACATTGCAAGAATGAAAACTATTTAATAGTTTTTGAGCTAGGATTGTCCTAAATGTGCCCACTATAGAATAGCTTATTTGCGAGTAGTAAGAGTGATCCTCGTTGAACGAACACATCTCCTAAGAAACTAATAAATTATGAGTACTATGCTACCGACCATTTTTAGACGAACGCATCAAAGAGCATGTATAATGAGAAAAAATAATTATACCCCGGATGAAATAGCGGAACTCTCTATAAAACACGCATTTAAACAAATTTATTACATATATTTTATAAAACGAATCAAAATTCAATTGCCAGCGAAATCAACCCAGATACTATAGTCCGGTCTCTCTGTCCCCCAGTATTCCATTGTTGGTGTTCCGCATCCTAATTCATAAGACCAAATGTTCGTAATACTTGCATCAAGGGTATTTGAGTAGGACGATGACTTTGGTACAAAGGCCATTTCCCCTTCGCGAGTGACAAGATCAACATGAATTGTCTCAGGCCAATTGTAGAACCTCGGGAGGAAAACTTTGTTCTCCATCCACTTAAATTTGGGCTTCTTTATTATCGTTGTCAGCGACCCAGTGAACACTACTTGACCATGCAGGCTCTCCACCTTCTCCCACTCCATTGTTTCCTCATTAAGCTTCAAAACATGGACCGCCTTCCCACGGCGTTCAATGAGTACAACCATCAACCCATATTGGCTGGACCGGAGCAAGTAGCTATCTTCACATTTGAACCCAAAGCCGTCAGGCTTGTCAAGAATCTCAAATCCATTGTCATGCCTGCAAGGATCATAGACCAGCAACCTCCCATCTTGAGCTAGAAGATATAGCAAGCCGTTATGGAGGACCGGGTTGGTGTCCGGTGATACCCGAATACGTGGCAAGTCAGGGTGATATTCCGTCAACTTCCAATCCTCCCACTCACCACTGCTGTTTCGGATAGAGCTAGCAACCTTAATGGTAAGAATCGCCTCGACACCAAATAGCCTCTCATCACCGTCAGAGACAACAAAATTGAATAATGCATGAGGTTTTGGTGGCAACACTTCAACAAGGGCGCCAGTGACGAGGTCAATATCAAACACCAAGGACTGGTCCACGCACATACTCAGATGTCGTCCGGTGGAGCAACAGATCTTCGCGCCGGGCACCTTGAGCAGTCCATCGACCTCGAAATTCTTGTCGTAGTAAGGGCTATAGTACCGGATGTTGGCGGTGCCAACGCCGGCGGTGCTGAGGAGGAGCGGGGTGATCCACGCTGGGTAGAAGGACGACAGCGACACGGCGGAGCGCCATTGCCGGCACACCAATGCGGCGTTTGGGTGGCTCGACCACCGCAGACTCCCCAGGATCCGGACGAGCACGTCCGTCGGGAGAGACGACCAGCCCCGGACCCGCGACGTCGACGCGACGGCCTCCATCTAGGTTGCTCTCGCCACTACTATATGCACGTGACCGGTGTTTTCTGCCGCTTTTCTCGTGGTGGGTCGCGTGCCGGCTTATGTATATATAGGACGCGTGCGGGGTTATTGCGAGCAAATACCAATCAGTTTAATGCTATGTGCACGGGAGTCCTCGCCAAATCCGTGTCGAATACTGAATACACAGCACAGCGCAGCAGGGCCCATATCCATCGATATCGAGCCCGCGAGAGAGAAAAAAGGGAACCGCACGTAACGTAATTATATGTACGGGAGCCACGAGCCCGCACGGTAGCTCTGCTGCACGCCTGCACTGCACGTACGTATGGTAACTTGCAACGGTGAATTGTTCCAAAAAAAAATTGCGAAAGAGGAGGATGCACGATTACTTTACTTTAGAAAAACTTTTTTTTTAAAAAAAAGGCCAACGGATTTTCCTTGTAAAAGGGTATCCTTTATGTGCAAGCCAATCACTTCATATAGATGGGGTACGATGAAAACTGTCGGAATCGGTAGTCCTTTATGGAAGTAAATTCTCGGTCGATCGAGAATTAATGGTCATATTTATCAATTTTAAAATTTGGGTATCAATTTATAATAATTTAGTGTCGATAATAGGATCCTCAAAACGTTGCAATTTTACGACTTTACATGAAATAATTACGTAGCACTAGGTCAACCATATATGAAAAACATGTGTAGCACTCGGCCAACCACAGTATCTCTATCTCTACTATTAAAAAATTAAATATGTTTTTGCCAGTATTTTGGTACGTCATCCGTGTTTGAGTAGGTTTTAAAGTTCGTTATCTTTTGGAAATACAAATCCGTATTTGAATCAGCCTTTAAGTTCATTCAGTTTTAGAAATACAAAAGGAGTCGTATAAGAAAACTTTTTTAAAAAAACTCACGTACTAATTTGAGATGAAAGTCGGACTCCTAATTGCAGCTCATAATTAATTTTCTAAAAAAAATATCCAAGCGAATTCACACAATCCTCCCGCATCGGGCGCTCGAAAACGAGCGTTTTAATTAATACGGTGAGGTGAGTTGTTGGTACTTAGTGTTAGGAAACGATAGACAAATAAACGATAAAAAACAATAGATCAATCACAGAAGGCACGAGATTTTAACGTGGAAAACCCTCCCAAAACAGGAGAGAAAAAACCACGGGCGCCAGCGAGCAAAATATCTTCACTATATCTGGGGTGAGATTACAACGCCTCACGGTGGCTTACCAGAGGTATATATATGGTGGAACCCTGGAAGGGATGACGATCCGTTTCGTGGGGGCTCCGCCCCCGCACCCCGGGCGTCCCCAGGTGCACGGCCCAATGGGCCTCCGCTACGCACCGGCCCAAGCCTCTCGGCGACGGGCCTCCGCTCCACTACGGCAGAAGCTGGCCTTTATTAAGTGCAAATAAATTTGTATCAAAACTCAACACTTAGTGATCTTGAATAACATGTGTTGCACATAATCCAATTTGATCATACCAATTTTCATCCATATACGTGCATACGTCTCTCAATTCATCTATCTACTTACATATATACTTGGTCAATTTCTATATATCATTTACATGTTTTGGTAATATAACATTCTATATCATTTAACGGTTGTTAAAATTGAACTTGCAATCATGATTTGCACTTCCATTTACATTGCGAGCTTAATTGTTTGCAACAATAAATTTGCACACCTTGCAATGCGTGGACATAATACTAGTTCAAATAAAAAATGATATACATATAGATATACGTACGATCATAAGATTCGACTAATGCAGACCCTGTTTTATATCCCACCCCAAAATTTTTCACCCTGTCACATCGAACGTTTGAACACATGCATAAAGTATTAAATATAGGCTAAAAAATAACTAATTGCACAAATTGCGACTAATTTGCGAGGTGAATCTTTTAAGTATAATTGCTCTATGATTTGACAATGTTGTGCTATAGTAAATATTTGCTAATGATGAATTAATTAGGCTTAATAAATTCGTCTTGTGGTTTATTGATGGATTTTGTAATTAGTTTTTTATTAGTGCTCGAGCACCCCATACGACACTCTATATAATATCCAATGTGATGTGACAAAACTTTACACCCTTAGATCTAAACACCCCCGTAGTATATGACTAGGGCTAAGCCTTAGGTGGTGTTTGGATCCAGGGACTTAACTTTAGTCCCTGTATTTAGACACTAATTTAGAGAATTAAATATAGACTACTTACAAAAATAATTCAATAAATGAAAGCTAATTCGCGAGACAAATTTTTTAAGCCTAATTAATCTATAATTAGAAAATGTTTACTGTAGCATCACATAGGCTAATCATGGATTAATTAGGCTCAATAGATTCATCTCGCGAATTAGTCCAAGATTATGGATGGGTTTTATTAATAGTCTACGTTTAATATTTATAATTAGTGTCCAAACCTCCGATGTGATAGGGACTTAAAAGTTTTAGTCCCATCTAAGCAGGGCCTTATGTTGCACACAACAAATGACTGACGTCGTGATGAAACCTCACATGTATTTGTTAGCGTGCCTCACGCTGCAATATAGGCTGTGTTTAGTTCGTGTGCCAAATTTTTTTTAAGTACGGATACACATTTAAAGTATTAAACATAGACTAATAACAAAACAAATTACAGATTCCGCCTGTAAACTGCGAGACGAATCTATTAAGCCCAATTAATATGTCATTAGCAAATATTTACTGTAGCACCACATTGTCAAATCATGACGTAATTAGGCTCAAAAGATTTCGTCTCGCGATTTACATGCAAACTGTGCAATTGTTTTTTTCGTCCGCATTTAATGCTCCATGCATGTGTCCAAACATTTGATGTAACGAAAAAGTTAGAAGTTTAAATAAGAAAGTTTGAATCTAAACACAGCCATAGTCGGACAGAAGTCGTATGTGTAATAGCTCTTAATTTGAATACCTGTTTGAAAAAGGTACTAAAACCATTTCCCCTGTTAAGAATAGCTCTTTGCTTTTATCAGCAGAATTCATTCGAAAAAGACATCACCAATTGATAATTACATCAAATAAAAAAAATCATTGGACAGATCAAATGCCTCCTCGGCAAGCTCTTTGGCACTTTCTTTGCTTGTCCTCCTACGAAAGAAACCGCGGCGCGCCGCGTGCGCCGGCGACCGTGGCGTGACAAGTCAGAAAATCTTCATGTTCCTCACCGATTGCGGCAGCTTCCACCCGCCGCCCTCCTTCTTCTGCGCGTCGCGCCCGCACTGCCCGGCGCTCCTCGCGGCGGCCGCGGCGCCGGCGGCCTTCGACGCCGCGCCGGCGCCTGCGCCGGCGCACGCGTGGTCGGCGGGGAACCGGTGCTTGAGGCACACCTTCTGGCCGCACCCCTTGCACCCGCTCGTGTTGGAGAACGTGAGCGTCTCCTTGCACCGCGGCACGGGGCACCGCGGCTTGCGCTTCCTCGCCGGGTCGCACCGCCGCGACCGCGCGTGCGCCTCCAGCACGGCGGCGTCGTCCCCGCCCCCGTCCCCGGCCCGCCGCTCGATGGCGTCGCCGCAGGCCTCGCAGACGACGACGGTGCGGCCCTGGTCCGCGGCGCGCGCGCAGCCGTGGTCCCGGTACGTCCGGTGCTCCGCGCAGAACGTCTTGCCGCAGCCGTCGCAGTCGAAGGGGAGGAAGTCGAGCTGGTTGCAGTCCTCCCTGTCGCACTGCGCCCCCAGGTCCGGGAACGCCTCCGTGCCCCGCCGCGCCATGGAAAATCGATCGACGATTTGATCGGTTGCCTTGATGATTCCTTCCTCCTCCTCCTCGAGAGCTCTGAAACGATTCGCGTTGACGAGCGTGGATTTATAGAGGCGGGGGTTTGCCGTTTCCGATTCCGACGCGGTTTGCCTTTCTTTTCCGGCAAGAAGGTTGGGGGCAGTTTGGTCCGGATTGGAATAGTCCGGTCTGCTCTGGAGGCGCCTTTACTTAGCGAAGGCGGTTTTGGGTTTCGGTTAGTTTAGTTTAGCCGCGTCGGCCGTGACGTGTCGTGCTGGGCTGGTGGGGCCGTGTGGTTGGTTTCTTTCTAGGAGGAGGAGACCGAGTCGGATTTGGGGGTGTTTGGGGGTCGAAGGCAGCATATGTGAGTGAGTCCGGATTATTGAGACGGCTCGTTTAGTGAAGGCCCAATTAGGTGATTTCTATGGCCCAAAATTGCATTAATTGCAGATTTCAAGGCGTCAATTTCTATTGGAATAAGTTCACCGGAGGTCCCTCAACTTAACAACGAGATTTTTTGAGGTCCTTTAACCACAAAACCCGAAACAGAGATGCTAAAAAACAATCGACAGTTTTTGGGGCAAAAAACAGTCAAATGTAACTATAATATAGTTATAGTGTAACTACCATGTAATTACACTATAGTTACACTGTAACTATAGTAGTTACACTATAGTTATTATAGTGTAACTGTAGTGTAACTACGTTATAATCTCTATATAAGTTAGATATGAAGTTATATTTATTATTTTAATATTTATATAAAAGTTATATTATAGTTACAGTATAACTATTACAATTATGCTATAGTTAGATTTGAAAGTTTTTTTTCCCAAAAAACTGTCGACAGTTTTTTTTAGAGAGTCCCAACCAGAAATGTGCACCCCTAAACTTACACAAACCGTGCACACAAGGTCATATGACAGTATATGTGGGTGGTTTCGCTGACGTGGCATCCTAGTCAGAAAAATAAATAAATAAAGTACATGGGGCCCACATGTAAGTGAGAGAAAACGATGCGAGCCCCACATCCCTTCTTTCTTCCCCTTTCTTCTCTTCTCTTGTCTTCTTCGACGGGTCGAGACAGGCGGAGCGACGGCCGGCGAGAGCGGCGGCGGGCAGCGGGCGACCGCGGCGGGAGGTGGGGCGGGATCCGGGACGGGTTCCTCGACGGGCTCCTGCTCCGGGAGGGGATCCCTGCGGCCGACGGAGATGTCGCCGCTGGTGGCGGAGGAGGGAGGACGCGATCCAGACGACGATGGACGCGAGCACCTGGTAGTCCGGGAGGAGGTAGTACGCCGCGGCGAGGAGCGCCATGGCCGCAGCGGCGTAGGCGGCGGCGTGGGGGAGGGAGCGGGATGGTTGGCTGCAGTCCTGGACAGGGCACATCAACGGGAGCCACGTGAACAAGACCACCGCGACGAGCAGCCACCTCAACGACGCGGCCAGTAGCGCGACCACGGAGGACGACGAGGTGGACACGGAGGACCACAGTGGGCATGCGCGGCCGCCGCCGTTCTCCCCCGCCGCCCCTGCCTGCTTCGCCCGCCGCTCTCGCCCGCCACCCAGTGGCGAAGCCAGGATTTAGAGATGGGGGGTGCCATCTACGAGACATGGTAATTCACCTAAGGTTCAGTGAACAGTGATTTTGTAGTGTTGATGCATGATCGGTAACTCGATATCATACATGTTACAGCGATTAGCTACAAGAGATAACAAGAACCCATATATCATGATTCGCCAATTTAAAATTCAGTAATATTTTTAATATATGGATGATTGAACAGTTTGTTCCATTAATTGGAGTCTTGCAATCACTTCTAAAATGATAAATCAGTTAGCTAAGTCATTTCAGAAGTCAGTTGTCCTATATCCTATATAGTTAGTCTCATCTGTAACTAATGATATAATTAATAGCTAAATTATAAGTGCTAATCATCCTTGGGAGAAGAGAGGGGAGGGGAGGTCACATAGGGGTTAGGGGGGTGTTGGCCCTCCCTGGCCCCTACGATGGCTTCGCCACTGCCGCCACCCCTACCTGCTTCGCCAGCCGCCAACGCGTTCGCCTGCCACCGCCATCCCTGCTTGCTTCGCCCGCCGCCACAGCGCTCGCCTACCCCCGCCGCTCATGCCTGCTTCGCCTGCCGCCGCCGTGCGCCGTGCTCGCCCGCTGCCGCCGCCGCTCTCGCCGGCCGTCGCCCCGCTTGTCTCGGCCTATCGAAGAAGACGAGAGAAGAGAAGAAAATAAAGGAGAAAAGAGAAGAAAGGGGAAGAAAGAAGGGATGTGGGGCCCACATCGTTTTCTCTCACTTACATGTGGGCTCCACGTACTTTATTTATTTATTTTTGCTGACTAGGATGCCACGTCAGCGAAACCTCCCACACATACTGTCATAGGACTTTGTGTGCACGGTTTGTGTAAGTTAGGGGTGCGCATTTCTGGTTTTGTGGTTAAGGGATCTCAAAAAATCTCAAGAGTAAAATACACCGCTGGTCCTTAAACTTGAAGCGTGGTGTCACTTAGATCCATGATCTTGTAAAATCGACATTAAGGTCCATGAACTTGTTTAAATGAATCATTGCGGTCCAAAGCACATTTGACAGGATTGACCGTCCTACGTGGCTGTACAGCGTGGCCCCATATTTGCACTTAAGCCCCTACACACCTGATCCAACCCTCCACTACTGCTGTTGACCGCCGCTGGCTTCACCTGCTCGCCATCGGCTCTACTCTCTCCCTCCTCCTCCTCACCACCTTCCCTCTCCCCTTTCCCTTTCCCTCCGGAGACGCGGTTCTCGCCAGTGAGCGACAAGACGGCCTCCCACGCCTTGGTCAGCACTCGCGGACGCCTCCCGGACCTTCGCCATCATGTCGCCCGGCGCCGCCGCCACCGTCGGCACGCCCTGCGCCACGTCCTCCTTCCGCCGCTTCACCACACCAGAGATCGTCACCCCCTTGTCCTGCTACTGCCCAATCGTCGGCTCGCCGAAGGCAAGGGTGGTGGAGGCGTCCGTGTCCTGCGCGGCGCCCTATGATTGCAAGCTGCCGCCGACGCCTGGGATCACGGTGCCGATGGACTGCATCACCAGCTGCACCTTGCCAGCCACGACGGTCCCGACACCGACATTGGGTCGTTCGGCACATCCACATCCGGCTTCCCGACGCCGACGTGCTTCGGGTCATCGGAGACGCTCATCGAATCGAAGGCACGGACGATGGGCATCGCATCAATGTCCTCACCTTCCTGTGGCATGCGCACTGGTTCATGTCACTCATCCTATGCGCTGCCACATCGCGTTCATCCTCCTCGCTGCTGCTGTTGCTGCTGCTCCCGCCAGTGCTGTCGCCGCCCTTCTCCCTGCCACCACGCCGCCAGCGAGGTGTCGCGTCGCGGATCCGGCAGTAAGGTTGGATGCGGCGCCGACAACTGGCGAGAAGGCCAGATCCAACGTTGGCAACTAGGCGGAGCTCGACATCCATCACTCCGGTGGCGAGGCGTCGCGGCGCGGATCCGGTGCCGACGACCAGCGAGAAGCGAGACCGGCGGATCTGGCCGTCAGTGAGGCGTGGTTCTCCCCGGTGGTGCCCCTCTCTTCGGCGGCGATGGAGGAATGGCTCCGGCAAGGGCGTGGGGCGGCGGGAAGGGAGACTGAGCCAGGCCGTGACTACGGCTGCCTTCTTCTCCGTCGAGCTCCCGACGGCTACCTTGTCGAGCTCGAGCCCGACAGTGGCGGCAAGAGCTCGAGGGCTCGCAGGCATGATCCACCTCGGTGACGACGACCGGGGCGAGCTCGCCGGCCGGCTCACCTGCAGGGCCGTGAAAAAAGAGAGAAAGAGAAGAAATAGAAAAGGATTTTGGGGAAGAAGAGGGTGGATTGGGCACGGAGGGGTCTAACAGCAAATATGCAGCCACGCTGTACAGCCATGTAGGACGGTCAATCCGATCAAATGTGCTTTGGACCGCAATGATTCACTTAAACAAGTTCATGGACCTTAATATCGATTTTACAAGACCATGGATCTAAGCGACACCACGCTTCAAGTTCAAGGACCGACGGTGTATTTTACTCAAATCTCAATGTTAAGTTGACGGACCTCCAGTGAACTTATTCTATTGCTATTAGCAGTTTGAAAATTGTTTAGGCCCAACTTTGTGTCCAAAAAATGTTACTCCCTCCGGGCTGATAATACTTGTCGTTTTGAACAAGGGTGAGGTCAAACTTTAGAATCTTTGATTATGAATCATTTTCAAAATATTTGTCTTTCAAATATGGTGACCACATGTATAGATTAGTCTTAAAAAATACTTTAATAAGATCATATATTTGTTAATACTTTTTTACATATTATGATAGAAAATGATGGTCAAAGTTGTTTTTCGAAGACCGTGCTCTTGTCCAAAACGACAAGTATTATCAACCCGGAGGGATTAGTTGTTAGTGCTTACTCTGTACTAGAGGTGGCCAAACGGGCCGGGCCAAAACGGGCGGCCCGAGGCACGGCGGAACCTGTAGCCGGCACGGCCCGGCACGGCCTGCTACAGTAACGGGCCGTGCCGGCACGGCACGAGTAGCCGTGCCGTGCTTGGGCCGCCGGCCGAGCCCGCGGGCCGGCACGGCACGGCACGGCTACTGTAGTAAGTCCGCATCTCATCCTTCCGCAAGTCCGTATCTCATCCCTCCCAACTGACGGCCCAGCCCGCTAGCCGCCTCCGCAAGTCCGTTGAGCACCCCTCCTAGCTGATGGCCCAGCCCGCCAGCCACCTCCGCAAGTCCGCATCGCATCCCTCCGCGCCATTTCGGTTCCTGGGCCAACCGTGCCCCGTCCACGGCCCATTTTTCATTCACGGGCCCGTACTGACACGGCGGGCCACACGCATGCCGTGCCGGCACGGGCACGGCCCGGCCATCCACGGGCCGTGCTTGGGCCGGCGGCTCGGCACGTGGGTTGGGACGGCACGGCCCGTTTCATGAGCCGTGCCTAACGGGCCGTGCCGAAACGGGCCGTGCCGGACCCGTGCCCGTGCCGTGCCGGGCCGGGCCGCCCGTTTGGCCACCTCTACTCTGTACTCGTACTATGGTGATGGTGCAAATGCAACGCACGGCAATCATGTTACGTCTGCGTGAATGCATGCTTCTGTTCTATCTGCGCAGTACAAGTCACACTATCTTTGTGGATAGAAAAAAAATAGAAGAGATATAAAATGCAAGCACGTCAAAGTATAAAAATCACAAACCCCATTTCTCTGTTATGACCAGCCATCTTCGTGGCATGAATGCATCCTCCTTGCCGCTGAAAAGTTTGGGAAGAAAAAAAATGACATTACCAACCTCGAATTAAGGAGGAAATCCCTAAAAATTTCAAATTATAGATGCAAAAAGGGACCGCTTTGTCTCTCCCTCCCCCCGTCACGGCCATGACAACGCTCCCATAGTCCCACATTTCACTGGCACTATTCATTGGTGACAGATGAGAATCGTTTTCAGCCCCTTCATTGCTCGTTGATGAAACGCCCGGGGTCCAATCCAACAACGCTTATCGCCATTCGCCTCCTCATCCCTCCGTTTCAGCCTCGACCATGGCAGCCGGTGCATGCAAGACGCGAATCATATGCTGCTGCTGCTGCTGCTAAGACAGTCACACATGTTTACAATTCCAGTGAAATCCGGTCCAAAATTTGTAAAATTCAGACAACTCGGACCAGTTGGAAAACACAAAACCCCTTGATTTTTCGATCAAGTTCTAAAAAAAATTAAAACTAAATTTTAATTTTTTTTTCATGAGATTTATTTAAGAGTTCATCATTTTTTTGTTAGTTTATAAACGGTTTTCATGAAATCTCTGGCTAGCATATACGGAAGCTTGGGGGCAGGTAAGGTAGGTAGGTACTCCGGAGGAGCCGGGCGAAGGGTCACTACTCACACTTCACTCTCACTCTCTCGTACCGAAGCAGTCACGAAAGTTGTCAGCGTCATCACGAACACGCGACGACGCGGACGCCGCAACGACGAGCTAGCCGGTGACCTCAGCGGCGGGCGCCCCTCGCGTCACCCAGCCGCTGACCAATCTCGCTCTCTGCAGCCTGCACGCGCTCCATGACAGACGGACGGTGCTCGCTTTCCCTACCTTTACCGGCCTTGCGCTCAGCGGCGGGACACATCTCTGCACATGGCTCCGCCCGCATAAATCCAAGCAGAAACCACCACCTCGTTTTGCCTGGCCGCTCTGCTCAACTTCCAAGCTCCAAAGTTAAGCAGGCAGCTCATCTGTTTCCAAACCAATCCTTAGCTATGCTATGGATGTGTTTAGCTCTAGGATATAAAGTTTCGATGTTTCAAATCGGATATACATACACATATTTGAAGTATTAAATATAGTCTAATAACAAAACAAATTAATCCGCGAGACGAATTTATTAAGCCTAATTAATCTGTCATTAGCAAATATTTACTGTAGCAACACATTGTCAAATCATGACACAATTAGGCTTAAAAGATTCGTCTCGCAAGTTACACGCAATCTGTGATATTAGTTATTTTTTTCGTTTATATTTAATACTCCATGCATGTGTCTAAACATTCGATGTGATATGGTGTAAAATTTTATCACGGGATCTAAGCAGGCCCTATATGTGTGGGCCAGCCGAAAGCCCGAAATTGACCATTGCCAGGCGTCAATGCGACTGTGAATCCAGGTACTCTACAAAAATGTCAACTGTTATACAGTTTATTCGTTAGCAACTTGGCATGGTCACCGTTTTGCCTGTAATAAACTAGTAACTAGAAGTAACACTAAAAGTACAGTAACAGCAAGGTAAACGACAACACTTGGCATTACGCGCATCAGCCCTGATATACCAACAACTCGTGAAGACTACTACTACTACAGCTCGTGTACTGGATTGCACGGCCGGGCATATAGCAAAGGGCTAACTTCCTGGCGCATCCAAAGCATGCTTACCCAATCGAAATGTACCCTATCCGTTGCTTACATTACACTACAAACAAAGCAGAACGAACTGTTCATCGTCGGAGGAGGGAAGCTAATTAGTTGCTCGTGTGATGGCTTACTTAATCCATGTTTGTTCAGAATCTTCTTTCTTTAAGTACGTCCCATTCACTGCCTGTAGTGCCTACTCCGATTGACCCCTTCACATGCAGTGCATAGCTTACCTAAGCGTTGAACTTGCATGACTGTCAGACAAAGTTCCAAATACTCCTGTCGGTCCACCTTTTGCATTCTTTTCTCGACGAAAAGGTTTTTGTTTGTTGCCGCCCTTCATGGTCAGGCGATTGGCACCACTCTTGAGTTAGTTTTAGGTGCTAGATTCCAACTAATAATCACCCTTTTCTTGTTGCCAGATGCACACTTTTCTGGTATGGAATCTAGCATTTTGCCACCACCATTATGTTTGTTGTGCATCTGTTATGAACTTCCTATCTGGTTTTGTCCTTGCAGAAATTCAGATTGGGAGCAGATTAGCAGCTCCTCAGGTTACTGGTATAGAATATCATTATACAACCACCATTTGTTAAAATAGGTTGTGTTTAGATCCAACTTCAGTTCTTTTCCATCACATCAACCTGTCATACACACACAACTTTTCAGTCACATAATCTCCAATTTTAACCAAGACTGTGTTTAGTTCAGCGCAAAGTTTGGATTTTGGTTGATCCAAACTTTAGATCTAAACACAACGCAAAATCTAAACTTCGCGCTGAACTAAACACAACTATGATTAAAATCCCTATCAAGTTCTGTTCCTGCAGAAATTCAAGATTCTTCGGCCTTCGGAGCAATGCGTCACAGCGTCAGTGAGAAAAGGGTCTGTGTCTTATGACATGGGCAACATCCAGGAATCAAGTGGTACACGGGAGACCGTGGAGAAAAGGGTCAGGCTTGCATATGACCCTACAGGAAATGTAGACCATACTGTACTACCTTTGGTAGGGGACAAGCATGGCCTCGCCGTCCTTGTCAAAAATTTTAAAAAAGGATAAATTCCATATGTAGATCCGTCTATGGACAGCTAGGATTGAATTCTTTCATCCAATTATCAAGCGCTGCCGAGGTATCGGCAGCCACTGATTTCTTTGATTTTCCATGACCAATCACCAATGAACACATCGGTTTCATCTACAATTCAGGTAGCTTTCTCACTTTGTACAGAAAAAAAAAGAACCTGGGTTTGCCAAACTTTCATGAAAAAACCTGTGAAATTATGTGTTAGCAGCAGCAGAACAGAGAAAATTCAGTCATCTGATGCAACAACGTACAGTGGTAACTGCTAAGATCCAACAGAAAATTTCACACAAAGCAAATATCACAAAATAGAGTATCAAGCATTAGAAAGGTGCTAAGCACTAGTGTAATTGGATTGGATCGGAGCAAAAGGATTTTGATCTTATTTACAGATGCAGAAATTCAGAAGAATTTCAGACACATGCGTCTTTCTTCCTGAACAATGCCTAAGTTTGGAAAGTACACACAGAACAATGCCATTACTCTGGCTTGCAAGCAACACCCGCCACACGCGCGTCGCGAGCCCTGTCAACTTTACACATCCGAGCACAAAGTGCACTACACATGGGAGCTCGCCGGCGCCGCCGCCGCCATGGCGACCTCGCCGGCGTCGACCAGCGATGGCAGCTGTCGCAATCCGCGTACCTAATTGCCTCAACTGTCTAATGGTGTACTAGGTATTCGGTGGAATCAATCAATCACACGGTGGTGGTGGTGGTGGTGGTTTAGAATTCGGCCGTGTTGCCGCACGACGAGGACCCGAGCTCGCGCTGCCGGCGGCGGAAGGACATGAGGCCGTCGGACACGATGCTCCCGGCGCAGTCGTCGCCGTCGCCGCACTCGAGGCTGCTGCCGGTCAGGTCGGCCGCGTCGTCGGCCTCGTTCCGCATGGCCCGGAGCGTCTTCCTCGCCATGTCGCGCCGCACGATGCCCGGGGCGCACTCCTCGGCGACGCGGCGGAGGGCCGCGTCCGCGCCGGCGGCGCGCGCGAGGCCGCGGAACCGGAGGCTGCCACGGCTCATGGCGTACATCGCCGCGACGCACCACTCGTCGAGCTCGGCGCTGCGGGTGTCGTGGGAGAGGATGGCGGTGACGGCCGCCACGGCGCCCGCGTCCATCAGCGCCGCGCGGCCCTCCGTGCAGGCGGCCACGTTGCAGACGACCATGAGCGCCAGCCTACGGATGGGCATCCGCTCGGCGGCGCTGGACGCGACGGCGAGGAGAGCCTTGGGCGCGCCCGGGAAGCGGGCGATCTTGGACTGGTTGACGGCGGCGAGGGAGAGGTGGTAGAGCGCCATCCCGGCGTCGCGGCGCGCGGGCGCGGCGTGGGCGGGGGAGGTGAGCAGGTCGAGGAGGGGAGGCACCGCGCCGAGCACGCCGATGGCGGCGCGGTTGTCCTCGTTCAGGGCGAGGCCGAAGAGCGCGCCGGCCGCGTGCTCACGGGCCTCCGGCGGCGACGTGCTCGAGCGGAGCACCTCGACGAGCGGCGGCACGGCGCCCGCGCGGACGATGCGCACCTTGTTCGCCGGCTCGAGCGTGAGGTTCACCAGCGCGGCCGTCGCGTCGACACGAGCGCTGGCGTGGCGCGGGATGAGCAGCACGCGGCGGAGCGCGCCGAGCATCCGCGGCGTGCAGAGCGCGCGCCGCCGCTCCGCGCTCTCCCGCGTGGCCTCCCGGAGGCCGGCAACGGCCAAGACCACCTCCTCCTCCTCCTCCGCATCCATCACCTTGGCAACCACCACGTCCTCGAGCGGATCAACCGCCATCTCCACCTGCTCCCGGACCGCATCCTTGTTTGTCCCCTCCTTCACGGGCTTCACACCAACCTCGTCCTCCGCCGGAATAATCTCCGACGAAGACGTGTACGACGACGTCGACGCGGCGGACGCCGGCGACGAGTAGGACGAATTGGACGAGCTCGCCAGCGCCGCCCGCCGGGTCCTCACCGACTTCGCCGCATCGGCCGGCATCGCGCGGAGCACGGCCTCCCGAGCAGCATCGGCCGACGGCGGCGCCGGCACCACCCTACCGGAGCGCGCGCACCAGGTCCCAATCGCCGCCTTGAGCGCCGCGTTGGGTATCACCGCGTCGGAGGCGGACCCCATCCCGGGCGGCAGGAACGCGAGCTCCGCGCAGGCCTGGAGGCAGGCGCGCTCGTACGTCTGCCCCGACGGGAGGATCACCGGGTCGGCCATGAGCGCGCCCAGGATCGAGCACACGAACTCGGCCGGAGGCGCTTCTTCCTCCGCAACAACAACAACCGCCGAACGCGCAGGCGAGTGGGGCTCGGGGTCCGGCGGGGAGGAGGGAGACGACGGCGCGCTGCGGTGGAACGGCAGCTTCCAGCGGCGAGGGCGGCCCGCACCCATGAAACGCGCGCGCGGCTGCGGGGGTGGTGTTCAGCGGCGGCGGTGGCGGCGAGGGGAGGAGGAGCTAGAGGAGCTAGGAGGTGGAGGTAGTGATGCTTTTGCTGTGGCGGCCATTGGGTCTCGGGGGGTTTGGGTTTGTTTTTTTATTTTTCTCTTTTGGGGTTCGGGTGGTTTGTGGGTGCCTTGGCTGGAACTGAGGTCAGTGTGTGCGCGCTTCTCCTCGGTTTTATGCGGAGACAAACCTTAGCCAGGAAGGGATCGCGCGCGGGCGGGTGGGTCTCCGTGTCGCGGTTTTTTGCGGTGGATTTGCTGTGATTTTGGCTGCGTTTCACGGTGGGAGTACGGGGCGGGGGTGGTGCGCCGCGCGTTTGTTCAGCGGCTGGGGTGGGCGTTTTTTTTTTTGGCCGGAAACACCGGTTGCTTGGTTGGTTCAGCGAGTGAGCTCAGGCGAGTGCGCCGCTTGACTGACACGGTGTCTCGTGCAACGCACGAATGTGGTGTAATAGAAGAATATGAAATCGCTGGTTGACCTGACCTAGCAAGATCGTTTTGCGGCGAGTCGTAGCACACGATGCGTCTCCGACTCGTGCACATCTCTATCAGAAAACCGAAAGAAGAGTCAGAAAAAGAATGAGGCTCCCATCGTTGGATGGTCTAATCAGTCGAAAAAGCCAAATTTTAAATTTTTAAGTTTAATTTTGAGATTGATTTTGAAATATTTTCAACGTACTTTCTTTTCCAACATTGATTTTTAAATCACCAAAAACCCATTTATAAAAGTTTTACCTATAAATTTATTTTTATTTCCTACTATGGGGATCTGATCTTATATCAACTGCCATTTCTTACCGATGAGGGTCTCACCGTCTCAGGGAAGACACGTCAAACATTTTCCCTTTTTCTCTCGGAATTCCGGACGGTGCAGAATGCCCACCGAACCTCGTGAGATGCGGCTTGCTGCTGCTGCCCCCTCGTTTCACTGTTCGTGCCAGCCAAACTTCCCCAAGGCGCACACCACAAACGTGAGATCGTTTTCAGGTCTCGTCTGCGAGCTCGGAAAGACGCTGCGCTGAGCCAATTTGCTCGGCGTCGTGGACGCCGCGGACAAACGCCTCAACGTCCGGCCGCCAGAGAGCGCTGCCCTGCTGCCCCTGCAACAACGGCGAACTCCCCTGCGCACAAGAAGACGATCCCATCGTCCTCAATTCCACAGGAGAGGAATTGGTGCCGCGTGTGAACCGGATAGGCCGAGTCAAAGCAAAGCTCCATCGATGTCTGCATCTCGGGGAATCTGACACATGTGAGCAATGACTCGTTATCCCCTCGCAAAATTTTTAGTATTAAATATATAAAATAATAACTAATTACATAGATTACGTGTAAATTATGAGATAAATCTTTTAAGGCTAATTGCTATATGATTTAACAATATGGTGCTACAGTAAAACATTTGCTAATAATGGATTACTCGCAGTTTACAGGCGAAATATGTAGATTTTTTATTAGTCTATATTTAATATTTATAATGTGTGTCTGTATATACGATTTGACACGCCAAAAGATCTAATCACCCCCTCGGTGGAGTACCGGAGTAGCTCCCTTTGTTTATGTGTGTCCGTCAATCCGTGTGTGTAGCCGTGTGGGGGATGTGGCTGGCCGCTGGTGAATTGGGCTAGTGTTTTTTTTTAACTTTTTTAGTGAAGGATATTTTTACCCGGTATATACATCCAACTGGATATATGTAGTCTTTTTAAATTAGTAACCTAGCTTATCAAATAAGGAACTTAACCCTCAAATAACTCAATCTGAAATTCGCTTATACGAAGATTTGAAATCAAGACTTTAGAATGCTAATCAGTTCACTGCACCAATTGATATACATCCCCTTTCACCTGGTAAATGAATTGGGCGAGTGTCGGGGTGTCCGTGTTTATCTTCGGTGTCTTGCTTCGCCTGGTAAATGCACTGTCACTTTTGTCGCTGCTTGAATTCTCTTCTGCTGCCTAGCTCGCTGATCAAGATCACTTGCTCAGGCTCTCTGTTTATTTAGTTCCCATATACTTTTTCCTAAAAACATCACATCGAATCTTTGAATACATACATACATAAAGTATTAGATATAGATAAATTAAAAAACTAATTATACAGTTAGGGAGGAAATCACGAGACGAATCTTTTGAGCCTAATTAGCCCATGATTAGCCATAAGTGCTACAGTAACTCACATGTGCTAATGACGGATTAATTAGGCTCAAAAGATTCGTCTCGCGGTTTCCAGGCGAGTTATGAAATTAATTTTTTCATTCGTGTCTGAAAATCCCTTCCGACATCCGATCAACGTCCGATGTGACACCAAAAAATTTTAATTTCAAAAAAAACATGCCCTCAGTGTCAAAGACTGGCTGAGCCGTGGCAGATTGGCCGATCAGTGTCAAAGTGTTGCTATGTGTTGAGATTGGGAATAATTAATTATTTATCACTCTCACAAATAGTTATAAAGAATTTATCACTGGACCCATATATTATAGACACATAAGGGCTCATATATCATAGACAGCGAGTGACAAATAATAAATTGTCACATCTTAAAGTGGCAAAAAGTTTGTGTTTAGTTCAGCGCAAAGTTTAGATTTTGATTGAAATTGAAGATGATGTGACTGAAAAGTTGTGTGTGTATGACAGGTTGATGTGATGGAAAAGGACTGAAATTTAGATCCAAACTTTAGATCTAAACACAGCCTTAAATGTCCCGCAAAGGGCATTAAGCAGAATGAAAACCCACCGCATTTCTACCCAAATCGAGACATGGTTGAGCGGATTGTTGCTATCATTATTTATTTAATTGTAGAGATAAATTAAATATCATAATAAATAAACTTAATAAATAATATAAAATAGATGTTCTTAGCAATATAATTACAGAAGAAAGTTTTTATAGAAAATGTATTTTTAGAGCTTGAGTAAATAATCCGTTTCAACAATCCGACAAATAATTAAAAAAGGTAGGGCATTAGATTAGGATGAAATCCAAGCTTAGGACAGCTATATATATCACTCAACTTTGGTGCTTAGTGGCCCAAAATATAATATTTGCTTGGAGACAAACGAAAATTTAACCCCATCCGAGGTACAGTTTGGTGGCATTCATGCAAGTATAAGCTTAGTCCATTCCTAATCACCAACCCGCTATTAAACTGTTAGTAGCTTCGGTTATTAGGTCACTAACCTGTCATGGCGCGTGGCTACATTGTAGACTAGTTTAATTTACACAATCTACTTACCAAGTACCAACTGGGTAGCTCTTGTCTCTTGTTATGAAGTACATTTCTTTTGCCACATTTTATAAAAAAAATAATGATGGCGGTTCATGGCATAATGATGAGGCCAGACTGTTGTTAGTATGTTAAGCATTGGGCATTAAGCAAAATGAAATGCTTAAGAGTTAAGACAGTGGCTTGAAAGATGAATCAAAATTTAATCTCATCTGAGGTTGTGAGGTGGCATTCATGCAAATATCAAAAATTCAGTCCATCCTATTCACCAACCAGGTATTAAAGTACTGTTACAATCACTATTATTGGTTACTACGACATCAGTAGTACTTAGGTTAGTAACTCGGCATGCATAGCACATGGCTATGTGGTAAGATTAGTTTAATTAATCTGGATTGCAAAAGTAGGCTCCCGTCCTGATTCTTTCCCCCGGGTAGCTCTTGTCTCTTGTTGTAAACAACACTAATCACTTGCCATCTTCCATTAAACAAACAAATGACGGTTTCATAACATAATCCCTTGTGGAGATGTGGGCACTAAGATTATATATACACACACATATGCAACAAAGTATTGTTGGCACTGAAGAGTGCAGCAGCAAAGACATCGGTCTCTTGCGACTTTAAGCAGCCTAGATAGAGGGTGCCTTGCAGAGAAGGTTTATTCCTTGGGCTCAGTAGAAGTGTAGTAGAACACTAGAACATGTTCTCTTTTTTTCCTTTCACCAACAAAAGGTACACCCTCTGGCTCCACATGTTTTCTTTCTCCTTTGTTGAGTACTCCAATACCCCCCCTCATGTTCTTCTGTTCAATGCTCTGGTCATTGAAATACGCATATACTTACATTACTAGTCCCTAAATTGAACGTACGTGTGTGGGCCAAGAGAAACATCCGGTATGGTGATCTATTGATCTGGGTGTATTGTGACACTTCAAGCGCCTGCAAAAAGGATGGCTGATGCATATATTTATGTTGCAACTTGCAAGTTGCATCTCCCTCTCTTCAAAATTTTAGACAACTAGGCCTTGTTTGAAGTAGTTTATAGAGCGGATTATATCTATTTAATTGTAAGGATAAATTAAATAGTTTAAAAATAAACTTAATAAAGAAATAAGTAGTCCAAGTAATACGACAGAAAAGTTGGTTTTTTAGAAAATGTAACTTTATGGGCGTGGATCTATAGTAATAATCTGGTGAAGTAGCTAAAAACGTATTTTTAGAAGCGTGTTTGTGTATTTGCATTGTAAATGTTCTAAGACGATATGTTCTACAATTTACTAACTACTTCCTCCATTTCACAATATAAGTCATTCTAGTATTTCCCACATTCATATTAATGTTATTGAATCTAGATAGATATATATGTTTGAATTCATTAATATCAATATGAATGTGGGAAATGCTAGAATGACTTATATTGTGAAACGGAGGGAGTATTTGTGATTGTAGCACTGATCAAATTTTACATTTACTCATTAATACTTGCATTATTTCAGTTCTCAAAAATGAAACAGCATGCTTATGTAGCATGCTACATACCCCAATTGCAAAGAGTGGCCTCATCTTGATGCATGCCCATGATCCGACGTTCTTGGAACAAACGCAAAGGACACAAGAATGCATGCTCCCAATCTCCCATATGCCGAGTTGCTGATCGATCAATCAACGATGTATTACACACATCAACCCAGCAGCACGCCATGGCGAACGCTGGAGATTCCCATCATGGCTTCTCTCTGCAACTTGGAACACATGTAGCCATTGCAACAATATGTTTGTGGGTGAAGGGGATCATTCAGATTCCATCAGGCTGAAAGCCTGAAAGCTAAGCTATATACCTGCATAGTATGATGCAGGCTCGTTTGCTTGCTTGCTAGATCTATAGCTAGTTCACATCACTGACTGATCGTTATCAGTAACAGAAATCATTTCACGCATTGCCGTTCTGCAGCCGCAAGTGACGATTAATTATTGCATGTGTTGAACTCCGACTCTCTCCTGGATGAAGCACTGAGCTGAAGAAAGGCAGATGCATGCAAAAGCAGGCAGGGAAGAAAAGGCAGGCAAGAGAGAGCTTTACAAGAGCCAGGTGCACGCTGAATGATATATGCCTGAAAAGTTTCAGTTGTTCACACCAACATGTGGTAATTACGAATGTTAGTAATTAGTATCAGTTGTTCACACCAACATGTGTTAATTACTACTTAATTACTAGTAGTTTCCTTTCCTCTCACAAATCCATCCATAGCATCATTCATTCCATCACTGCAACATGTGTTATTTTTGACTGAATGAAATGGGATGTTTAACAGTTGAATAGTAATAGAGGAATGATTCGAGGGTACAACCAAATAAATTAACTACTATAGAGTTTAAAAATAGATTTGAAATAATATTTTAAAAATATATGTAGAAAGTTTTTTAAAAAATCGTACTACCTCCATTTCAAAATTTAGTTATTTTTAGTACAGTAGCTTATCTTAAAATGAAACTATTTTTCCACCTATCTCCTCCTCTCAACTAATCACAACCATCTCCTTCATCTACTTTCTCTTTTTAACTAAGCATAACATTTTTTCTATCATTCTCACATACTTTTTTAATACATGTGTCAATCTAAAAATGCTTACATTTCGAGTCGGAGGAAGTAGCGTTTAGAAACTCGTATAGTGTGTGTTTTACTTGTCATATTCCATCCCATTATAAATGGGGAAAAGAACAAACCAAGCAAGAATCTGACAGGATATACTGTGTATACCTAGTGATTTCTTCAGGCTTCAGAATCTTGACAGATATTGCAGTAGACAGTAGTGCATTAATCTACGACTTTGTTTGCAAAGTGTCATTTTTTGCTAGATAATGTAATGCAAAGCGACTTGTACACACCTGCTTTGGATAGGAAGAGGTAAGCTTGTGGAAATGGACACATACTATTTTCTAATTCCAAATTTTCTAAAAAGTATAAGTTTGTAACCACAGAATACGGTTTATTGGGTTTACTTATACGTCTGTGTATCGGAAAAGCAGAGCACACTTTAATCATGCAGCTCATAGTGGGTTCACACATTGCTTCATCTTTCATTGGATCCCCAAAAGTTGATGTTACATTTACATGAGGAGAATATACGATTGATTGTCATGACAACTTGCTCACGAAACATCTCTCCAGGAAAGCTTTTACCTTGCTAGTACAAATTTCAGAAATGAAAATGGATATGCTTGCCTGAAAACATTCAGAAATGGCGAATCATAAGTATATACAAATCTCGGACCCATAACACCTGCATGACTCAGTTTGAATGTAGAGGTCAGGTTTTTAATCCATTTTTTAAGAAAGCTAATGCATGATTAGACAGTCCAAAAGATGCATTGGTTCCTCTCTCGTAGATACTAAAGCAAGCTTGACTGATGCAACAATAAGGCATGAGTTATGTATACAACCTTTTATGCTGTATATGTTGCATTATCCGTGATTTTCTCGCCATATAATACGGCTTTGTATTAAGATAATTTGCAGGGGAAAATTACGACAAAGACAGAGCACAAAAAGGTGTATTTGTTGAGCCGTGTGAAAGCAAGCACTCGATGAGGTTTTCATCGAGGCTAAGCTGTCTTGGAGCAAGAAGTCTTGGCTCCTCCCCTGCTTTTCTGCTGCTCTGCTTTGTGTTCGATTGGACCCCATGGAGGATTGTGCTGCAGTGCTTGGACAGGCAACGCATGCAGAGAGACAAGCTGCATCTTGCGTGCTTTCCAATTTGGTTTTTGGTTTCTATCCTATCATTGGCTAGTGGCTTTTGCTTCGCGCTTTTACAAACAATTTCATTTCGAACTTTGTGGTTTATTTGTTTTCTTGTTGTGAACTTTAGGTCGTTCAGCAAAAGAGGATCGATAGCTTCTCTTCGTTTTTAAGGAAACACGGGCACAAACACAACAGCTAATGTGGATATGTGCACACTCTACAAATACATACACGCACACCCTACCTATGATCTTTGATCATATCAGCAGACAAATATATGTTGAGAGCAACAAAGTTTGATAAATATGTCGCCGTTCATTGAAAACATAATTAGCGTAAATATAATCATGTTAAAAACACCTATACATATTTTGATGCAGAGACTAGAAGTTAAATCCATTACCTAATTACTACCACCTCCGTTTCATGTTATAAGACTTTCTAGCATTGTCCATATTTATATAGATGTTAATGAATCTAGGTACACATATATGTTTAGATTCATTAACATATATATGAATGTGGACAATGATAGAAAGTTTTATAATATGAAATGGAGGAAGTAGATGTTAGGGATTTATCCTATCTATTCAGCTTGTGTTCTTCAATGTAACTGAAACGGAAAAAGAAGCGAGCACAGTAAAACTGTAAAAGTAAAATTCCGTTGCTAGGTAGGAGTAACAAAAACGCCGTAGACTTGCCAAGTTGCCATGTAGGCCAGCTCAGCTTGTACAGTGTGCAACAAATTGTACAGCTGCTTCTCGACGATTCATCAACTAGTGGTTGATCTAGACAGTGCAGCTGTTGCGGATGGTTCTGATCACGCAATCGTCAATACGGATCGTACATTTGGTACTTTGATACGAAATTTTAATGATACGTATACGGTTCATACGACGTATTGGATGGGAGTACATTTATGTTTCTGATGTACTGATGTGGTCCATGCATCTTCCATTGCCCTTCACGAGCCATGCAGGATCACATCACATCAGATCAGATCAGGACCGTTGGATAAAAACGATCATCATCACTCCAACTGATCTGCATGTGTAGATTGAATTGAATTGAACACAATGATGTAGTACCAGATACGGTAGAAGATGATGTGCATTGCATTTGCATAGCCAAGAAGCAAGGAATCCTAGATACCTCCATTTCAACCATGATTCAATAAGAAGGTGGCCCCCTTGGAGTGCAGAGTTTCAGACTGTAGATAAGTGTCATTTATTACCGTGCGAAATGGTCTCTTTGTTACACTAGTACAAACACCACTGTTACAATAATACAAATGTTACTGTCAGGCAATAGTTTTTCAACGTTTTACAAAAACATGTGCCGAATACAACAGAATAGGAGATAGTTAATTCTTTTCAGGGGCGACTATGAACTAGACAGGCTTCCCATTCAACTTTGGGAAAGGATCTTGTTTGCTGAGGACAAGAACTTTGCTCTTATGAGCAAAGTATCCTTTAATGAGATTCTTGTATATTAGGCACGCCATGATGCACTCCACCTGATAGCAAGGAGAAGACAAGGTTAATATATCACAGAGAAGTTGTAGGTTTCAGTTCGAAAATGAAATGTGTGTACTGTCAAAGAGAACCTCATCCACGTCCATGTCAATTTCAAGCCATTTCAAAGCTTTTACAACGACTTCTAGCTTAATTTGATGTGCCTTGGCTGGCTCCTTCTGCCTCTGAATGATATGGCTGTAAAAGGCATCGCAAATCAAGAAGGGAATTGGTCATCACGGAAAATGAAGTATGACAAGTTGACAACGACCACTTGAAGATTGCACTCACATTTTCTTAACTAATCTCTGATAGACTTGAAGTTCAAGCTTCTCCAATACAAGGTAGACACCAGATTTTAAGAATCTTGCAAAATAAACAAGCAGTCAGGGACAGTCGATGGACTGAAAGAGAAAAAAATCAGCAAACGACACCATGAACTTACTGGTCTTCATGCCTTTCGAGTGCTTGCCTAAGAAGCCTGAGATCTCCTCTCTTAAGTGAGGTCACAACATCTGCATACTGAAAGACTAAATAAACACTTGTACAATCTAAATGGGATATCTGGGAAAATTTCTATACCACTAAGGATAAGAAGCTGTGATGCCCTAAAAACGAAGTTCCATGTTTACAAACACAAATAAATAATTCAGTGGAGCATATTTAGCAAAAGTGACTGGTACAACTAAATAAATTAAACAATAGCTACATCAGACTTAGCTTCTATACCAAAACAGCTTACAAATAGAAATGGAAATTTTACCCATGCTAGATATTGTTGTAATTTGAGGAGAAATAATAATGAATACTAATAGCAAAACCAGCATGAGTTGAAATGAAAAATGAATGGAAGGTTTATTTTGCTATCTGAGGAGAAACAAAATCAATCATGATTTAGAAGTTCAACTGCCAATCATAAATTCATAACATAGAAGACCCCATGACTAATTAATTATGAGGAAGGTCATAATTAATGGGGATAAGGTTGGAACAGTGAGATGAGAAGACAGATGGGAGGTGGTATTCTGAATTTCTGATGCGAGTCTAGTGGAGCTTACAGGGATCGCAAACTATCATTCTTTAAACTTCAGTGCCTATTCTTTTAACCAGTGTCATTCTTTTAAGTAAATGTGTGCATCATGTCAATACTCACTGCTGTCATCCCAAAGTTACATCTTTCGATGAAATGTGATTATATTGGTAGAACATAAGAGAATATCCAGTGCATGACTATATTGTTCTTTGCATCTACTGATACGGAAAATATACAATTGCCAATAAATGCCCCTAAATCTTGCTTCTTGCAAAAGAAAAACAACAAGACAGATGACAATGGCATCAGAACCTAGTCTATTGGCTAAGTCATTGACATTGTAATGTCACAAGGGAAATCTAATGAAATATCTTGGTTATGGAAGTAACTTGCAGAAAATCAATACATCTGTTTTGTAATAGAAAATGAGACAGCTAAGCGCAATTTGCAATTTCCCTCCAAATTAAGCAAGTGTACAAGGATATATACCTCAAGCAGATTGTACCTCTCCAGTAGTGTTATTCTTGGCAAAACACCTATTGAAAGCTTTACTGGGATAAGAAACTTCAAAATTCTCCTATAAAATTGAGCATTGATCAGAGTTCGAACAGGTTGCATCATAAATTATATGCTAGAAAACTTCAAACCCCATGTAATACAAGTACCTCAAATTTGACTCATACTGAGGATTACAGTGCACCAAAGCATAAGTTAGCTTCTGATCTGCCTGATTTCAATAGAACAAAACCAGGGAAAAAAAAAACTTTGGTATCAGTGGTCTCATCATTTTGTGTGCAAGTACCACAACCATGTCGAGAGGGAGAGAGAGCTTACAACAAGAAAGTTCTCATTAAACACCTCTAATCTGCCGGTATAATACATATAAGTGACCTGAAACATTATGCATAATCAATAGTTTATTAGAAATGGCAAGGTAATTGTAAGTCTTTAAGACAGAAACAGTTACCAGATTTTTGCTAATCTTACCTTATCTTTCACTGGAAAATCTTCAAAATCAAAATTCCTGGCAGTTTCAATACTTCTTATGACACTGCGACAAAGGTGAACTGTTCCAAGCTGCATAATTTAAGAATATTGTTATATCGAAGTATCGAACTATAGAGTAGATACATGTGTTTGTGCATAGTACACTTCACTATATAAAAAATATATATGTATTGAGAGTACCACTTTACAAGAAAATAATCCTTACTCTGAAGTAAATTTTAAATAGCTGGCAGGTAACATAGAGTGCTCCAATGCGTTTAGGCCCTTTAACCTGTAAATTTGGAAATAAAATAGCTTCAGAACACAATCCAGACAAGCATAAACATAATCCATGAAAGAACAAGCACAAAGAAAATTTTCTGTGCAAAACATCATGGTTTAGGTTGCAACTGCTAAATGGTAGTAAGGAACTATGAGCCAGAACATCTCTAACATCAATGTTACACCCATAATAACAAAAGGCAACAGAACTCCCTTCAATTCAATTATCGTGCTTACGCAGCTACTTATTACCACTCAAGAAAGAAGAATCATTTTAGAGTTTCATACCGCGAGTGCACCGAAAACCTTCATCAGGAAGGACCCAGCAGACTGCAGCTTGTCAGGGTTCTTCCCACTCGTTGCAAGCTCCCTATCTGCCTACACAACCAAGCAAACAAACAAAGCTTCCATTAGGCATGAGCCGAAAATTTTCACATTCACAGAACCCAACCACACACACCATGCTCACCTTCTCAGCCAGCAGCCTGATCTCAAGCGCCACCGTGTGCATCGCCTCCATCGCCCACGGCGTCTCCCAGTTCCGGAACTCCTGCAAGAACGCGCTGCAACCAAAACCACATCAATCTTCCAGGAATGCGAAAAAGAAAAAGGATAAAAAAAACATGAATAAATCAGGGGTAAGGTAGTGAGGAGAGAAGGATGGGGAACGAACTTGGCGGCCTTCTCGAAGGAGGAGTAGGCGTCGGCGAAGCGGCGGAGGGAGTGGGAGTGGATGGCGCGGAGGAGCGGGGGGAGGAGGTCGGAGAGGTGCGGGTAGCGGTCGGCGGCGAGGCGCGGGAAGTCCGGGAAGGCGGAGAGCGCGTCGGAGAGCGGGGCGGGGGCCTGCGCGGAGGAGACGGCGAGGAGGGAGGCGAGCGCGGCGCCGTCCGACGAGGAGACGGAGTCCGCCACGCGGGAGAGGTAGTCGGCGATGCGGCGGTGCGCCTCTCCCATGCTCAGGTACGCCGCCATCTCCGGCGCGGCGGCTGCGGCGCCGCCGGGGGGTAGGGTTCGTGGTTTCGGCGGCGGCGGCGGCGGCGATGGCGTCGGAGTCGGACCCGAAGAAGGGCGGTTTCTGATTTCTGAAGGGTGGTGACGATCGCCGATCCTGGCCGTCGGATGGGAAATCGATGCTTGGGGGTAGTTTTGGTTTTTGGAAGCGATATCAGATGGATTTGGGATTTGATTTGCAGTAGATAAAAACATTTTGGCCGACATTTTGATAATTGAAAGCTTTATTGTTGCAAATGGTAGTATACAAGAGGCCAAGAGCAGAGAAAAAGGGATTTAACGGCCTGTTCACTTTGACGCAAAAAAAAAACCTTACCAAAATTTAGTTGCCAAAATTTTGGCAACTATGCCAAAATTTTAGTAGGATTTCTTATATAGTTACTAAAATTTGGTAGCAAACTAAATGTAGACATTTTTTTGACAATATTATCAAAATTTGGTAAGGTTGAAAATGACATTAAAGTGAACAGGCCCTAAAAAGATAGACATTTCTCAGAAATTTCAGTAACTATGACACAAAATAAGAAAAGTTATATGCTAACCGACAGGAAACCATTGAAATTAGGATATGAAGATGTACCACTCCATATGTGATACTCATGTATATTTTAGAGAGGACAAAAATAATAACGTAGTAGTTATAAAAAGCCACTGTTGGGATTGGAAATACATCAACAAAAGAACACTTTAGCTAGGTCATTCTGTAAGTCATAAAATTCTGTTTTTCTCACTGCATCATGACACAAGAGTGCGAGGGGATGGTTTGTGCCTTCTTTTTCATGGTTTAGGGTACTCGCTTTTAGTAGGTTTTTTTTCTCGTGCAATACTAATTTGATGCACTACACCATATTCACATCAGGAGTAATATTTGTGTGATTTGCCCTCGCTCGCATGGTTGCCTCATATTGGTTAGACTATATATTTGACGGTCCCATTATATTTCTTCAGTTTTCATTGGAAAGAAGAAATTTTGTTTGTTGAATACACGCTCCATTCATTCTTCCATTCCTCTTCTTGTGGCCGATACATTTTCGATTGTTATCTTTTAGTTTCCACTGTCAACTTATCAGTCGTATTTTGTTATATGTATGACGACCTTGTTGTTCTCTTCTAGCCTCCACCAACTATGTGTATTTACACCTATGCTATAATTTTGCATATCACCATTGGTTATTGCTAACATTAGCCGGTTCTTATTGGCGACAAAAGTTTGGCACATCTAATACAATTTCGGTTAATTGTCCGGTCTATGCCACAGTGTTCAGTGTTCGATAGTGTTGCAACTTGCAAGTGATCATCAAGACGCAAGGGGAGCAAGGATTAATTTGGAAATTGGAGGAACCGGCCAGACGACCACTGTATCGGGAAGAACTCACCGTTAGCTTGACGAATGGCTGTGTAGACGTTTGGTCGGCATTGTATCATAATGATTAGAATGAGAACTGAAAAATCAGGATTTATCTCCATCGTCCCTTGTCGCTTTGGCTTGGTCAGAGTGTCAAGAAAGTACATGTATTTTTGCTTGATCTTGCTAGATCTCCCTTGTCGCTTGGATTATCCTTTAATGTACAAAGTCATATGTCAATAGAAAAGACAAGAGAAACTAGATATGAATGCCTTTTTAACACTAACTAAACCAAACATGATGCACGTACGGTTTATAAGGATTTGCAATTTTATCCTAAATCACCGAGATAGATTAAATAAGTTCATAGCGCAATATCATGCTAACACATACTGTATAAATATAAAAGACTTTGTATGCGCTCTTCAAATCATGTCTATATGACTATATGGAGATAGATGAAATATGAAGAAGAGAAGTCTTTTAGATTCACTAGCACATAAAAGTTACCTGCTATCATACTTTTTCATCTCCCTTTAACCAAATTATAAGAAGCTAACTAAAAATCTTCAACGTTTTTAATTAAAATCAATGTTCAAAGTTAAAACTAATAAAATCTATGAAAGTTACTATGATGTTGTGGCCTCTCAGGTCCAGTTGCTGATGCAACCGAATAGGTAGGTTTTGTAGTGCAGCCTAGAACACTACAAGTTCTATCGAACAATCCCATATGTTAAAAAAGATACATTATTTAAGATAACCCAAACAAATGTGAACAAAATATCAGATACAAAAAATGCAGCTAAGGCCTGGTTTAGTTACCCAAATTTTTTTCCCAAAAACATCACATCGAATCTTTGGATACATGCATGAAGCATTAAATATATATTATAAAAAAACCTAATTGCACAGTTAGAGGGGAAATCGCGAGACGAATCTTTTAAGTCTAATTAGTCCATGATTAGCCATAAGTGCTACAGTAACCCACATGTGCTAATGACGGATTAATTAGTCTCAAAAGATTCGTCTCGTGGTTTCCAGACGAGTTATGAAATTAGTTTTATCATTCTTATCTGAAAACCCCTTCCGACATCCGGTCAAACATCCGATGTGACACTAAAAAATTTTCTTTTCGCGAACTAAACATGCACCAAGGCCGAGTTTAGTTTCGAACTTTTTCTTCAAACTTCCAATTTTTCCATCATATCAAAACTTTCCTACACACACAAATTTCCAACTTTTCCATCACATCGTTCCAATTTCAATCAAACTTTCAATTTTGACGTGAACTAAACACACCCTAAAGAGCGAAAAAAGTTTCTACGTGTCTCATCGAGCTTATAAAAAGTCTTTGCATTCACACATATTTCTCTCCACCAAAGTCAATCAAATAAATACTCATCATCCATTCCGTGTGGAAAAGAAAACAAAACAAGGAACGGCCACCAATCATTCCAACGATATCACATCATGCAACCAAACAAAATCAACAAAAGCAGAAAGGACATTTCTCATGCATTCACTGTCACAACCCATAAGGCCATAATAACCTGCTTAACCACAAAAGAACAGTATAGTCTTTCAGCCTCTCCTATAAGTACTCCCCAACTCCTCCTCCTCGGTTTTCATGCCACGCTTTTCAAATTGCTAAACAATACGTTTTTTTTTAAAAGTTTATATACGAAAGTTGCTTTAAAAAATCATATTGATTCAATTTTTTTTAAAAAAATTAACTAAAACTTAATTAATGACGTGTTAAACGCTGCTTCGTTTTGCGTGCCGGAGACACTCCCGAACAGAGGCTAATAGCTCATCCCTGCATCATCATCATCATCATGATCATCATGAATCAATCACCCGCCGTCCGTTGCATCGGACGGCGGAGGATCGCCGGACGCCAACCCGGATTCAAAACCTTTCCGCTACATTGACTGACCGCTCCACCCCCCTGCAAAATCCCCAAACTACCCCTCTCCTCCTCCTCCTCCTTCCCTTGTCTGAACGGGGGGAGCTGTGGCCACACCTCTCCCCCCACCTCCTCCTCCTCTAGGGTTTCCTCCCAATCCCCTCCATGGCCAAGACCAAGCAGGGCAAGAAGGACGTCGAATCCTACACCATCAAGGGCACCACCAAGATCGTCCGAGGTACGGGCCGCTTCTCGCTTTCTTCATTTCCGGCCAAGATTTGGGTCTCTTTAGTTTCTTCATGAGGGTTTGTGGTGGTGGTGTGGAAGTGGGGGATTGCGTGCTGATGCGGGCGTCGGACACGGAGAAGGCGCCGTACGTGGGGAGGGTGGAGAGGCTGGAGACGGACGGGAGGGGGAGCGTGCGGGTGCGGGTGCGGTGGTACTACCGGCCGGAGGAGTCCAAGGGCGGGAGGAGGCAGTTCCATGGCGCCAAGGAGCTGTTCCTCTCCGACCACTTCGACACCCAGAGCGCCCACACCATCGAGGGCAAGTGCGTCGTCCACTCCTTCAAGAACTACACCAAGCTCGACAACGTCGGCCCCGAGGACTTCTTCTGCCGCTTCGAGTACAAGGCCGCCACCGGCGCCTTCACCCCCGACCGCGTCGCCGTGTATTTGCTCCAACCCCCCCTCCTTTTTTGATCATTGATTTTGCATCTGCTTGTTGTTATGCAATGTGGGCTTTGGTTGTACTGATAATGGTTGGTGGTGGTTTTGGTTTGGGTGTGTGTGTGTGTGTGTGCAGGTACTGCAAGTGCGAGATGCCGTATAACCCGGATGATCTAATGGTGCAGTGCGAGGGATGCAAGGACTGGTAAATCACTTGGGGACATCCTTACCTTTCATACTGCATCTGGCTGACCGAAGGGTATTTCATGCCCGTCATTTTTAGGAGGAAGTATCATAGACTCAGTTCACAGATGAGCTAACTTTCATTTAAATGTTGTCGTCGTGTTGCTTTCTGTCCATATATCTAATTCCTTAAATATTGCATAATGAGAAGTTTATCTTGTCCCCAGTTTCTTCCATTTTACGTGTCATAATTGAGCTTTTTTCTGCAATATATCTAATTCCTTATTTTGCATAAAATTTTATCTTTCTTCTTGGTGGACCAAGTATAGGTCTTTGGGGACCATTAAAGATAAGAGCAGGGTGCATGACCATCTGAGGTTTCTTTAGAACTTGATGCTCTGTGCCTAATTATTCTCTGCCTTTCTCAAACATATAGTATAAAGTGTCAGTTACATGGTCTTCTGCGGATGAGATATATGACTCAAAGAACACTTTAGAGCTCATATTGCTGATGGAACGTGCTAGTTTCTTTAGTGATTGTAGCCGCTTTTACATTATTGTCTTGAGCTCTGTTTTGGCAATTGGCAATTTGGCATGTATATTGTTCTTTTGCTTGGATTTTTGAAGTATTGGCTTGGGCTCTGTTTCCGTATGGGATACATTGGGGGTGAAGGTGCCGTTCGTGTTCTACAATATTTGTATATTTTGTCTAAGAAGAGTTTAGAAACTGACATGAGTACATGACTAAGAACTTTTCACAATTCGTGCCCTTCCCTAATCCCCAATAAATGAGTGACGCCTGTTGGTAATGAAACTGTCATCTCGTCCATACATCAGTGGCAAGTATCTAACCTACCTAGGATGATGTCAACGAATGCATACATGGTGTATGAAGTTGTAGGCATTTAATACTACATGAATGCACAAAGTAAACATCATTACAATCATTGATCAATTTACATACTTATTGATGTTTCACTTATATCTGTCCTGATATTATGATAGTTATCTTTCTGTTTTCCTACTTCTGAAAGCAAACCTATTTGAAACGGATGAATGGGTGATTCCTGTGTTGCCCTTCAGAGTGTTTGCTGCAACTAACATGCTGCGTTCTGTCGTATTTCACTGCTCACCAGGTTGTCTGCTGAGCATTTTTTTTGCGTGTACTTCATTGTTAGATCAGTCAACTGTTACTTTTCTTTAAATACAAAATGTTTGGCAACATAAATGCTCTATTCCGCATGCCTATGTGTTGTCATGCACTCATGCTACACAGTTTCCAATTTGCTGCACCATTTCTCCAATTTTTTTTCTTGTTTATTATTGAATATTCAACTTTTAACTTGTGCAGGTTCCATCCATCTTGTATGGGAATGACCATTGAGCAGGCCAAAAAATTAGATCATTTCCTGTGCGCAGATTGTGTCAAAGAAAATGGCACGAAGAGACCTTCAAATTCATATCCAGCATCATCAAATTCTGATTCTAAGGTTGGTTACTTAACCTCTATCTCTTGACTGACTGTCTACCGATGTTCTGTTTGAAGATAACTTATCTTTAATTCTTTAAAACTTTAAGCGCAGTAGAAATTTGATTTCATTGTAATTACACTTAAAAAAAAACTAGTGTCTTGTTTTTGCTTCTCAATTACACAGGTCATTATTTGATGTTGACAGAGAAATACTCGAACTTTTTTTTCAAACTTTGCTGTTATGAACTCCCTGAACCGATGCATGCATATGTGGGGTCTTATGTTCTTGCATGTCTTATCCTTGTCAAAACTAATCCACAGTATTGACATCAATTTATCGTTTTCTTCATTATGATTTTTCTTGCACCTTATTTCCCACACAAGTAAGTTGTTGAGCATTATGTTTTCAATTTCCTATGGACATTTGTATTAGGAAGAAAGGCTATACACATTGCCTTTGCACAACATCAATGATGTTCTTTATTAGCATCGTACTACGCTGTTATTGATAATAAATTAATTTATGGTTTGGAAAAGCAAGTGTACACTCTACCATTCGTGTTTCCAAGCTTCTCTTTGAAAATATCAGTAAAAACCTTGCAAATGAATCATATGGAAACAGCAGCTAGTTTTGTAACCTGCAAGATACATTTTTTCCACCCATCAGCATTTTCGATGGGCATTTCACTCAGAGTAATTTCAATATATAAAATTTCTCTCACCTACCAACTGCAGGTTGAGCCAAAAAAGCGGAAGAGGTAATTGCTGTGACACGAGCCATCCGTGGTGAGGAGATGCACTGTTTATGGCGTCAGCTCTTCATTGCTGGTGCAAAGTCAAAACGTGGAGGGTGTACAGTGCAGATGAAGAGCTAGGCTAGGTCCAAGATCGCGTTAACTTATCATTTGCCCGAATTTGGGAACGTTTCCATCAGTCTAGGCAAAAGAACGAACTTCATTGATGCTGTTGGCTCGTTCAGTTGTAGCCAGTGTGGACTGGATGAGTGTCAGCGTGTTTTAGCTTTTTGCCTGGTACAGGAAAACGTTCCCAGCGTGGATGATGTTGATGATAGCTTAACTGTAGTTTCATAATTTGGGTGTCCCTGAGTTCTGTGACCTGTTTATTGATAAGTGAATGCCGCATGATGATGCTGTTGCTGCAAAATTGCAATCTTTTTAGTCGATGGCTCAATGCCGAGTCTACATGCTGAAATTCACATTGTTTACTGGGAAGAAGTGGACTACGCACAACTAAGGGTGTGTTTGAGGAGATGGGGAAGATACGCAAAACGAGGTGAGCCATTAACTCATAATTAATTGAGTATTAACTATTTTAAATTTCAAAAATGGATTAATATGATTTTTTAAAGCAACTTTTCTATAGAAAAATTTTGCAAAAAACGCACCGTTTAATAGTTTGAAAAGCGTGCGCGCGAAAAACGAGACTCAATCTCCCCGATCTCCCCCGAACGAACGATGCCTAAGTCGTAAGAGAAATGTTTAATTGGGAGGCAATTCAAGAACATACATATATATATATGGTTATCTTTGAGACATCGTAGTGTACATTGGAGGGGCCTTAAATGTCCCCCAAAAAAACATTTCTACAGCTATCATTGCCATCTGTGCGGTAGAAGCAAAGCTTTACTAGCATCAATGTGGACCGCTGGGCGACTGTAAAAACAGTAGCCTGTGCAAGCCACAATTACAATCAGCAACCGTTAAGAGCAATTTGTACAGCATATGGCAAATAACAAAAATAATCAGAAAGAATGGCGACATATATAAAAGAACATATACTAAACTAATAAACAAACCAAGATTTTACAATTACATCACAGGCTATGGTACAAAGCTATCAAGCAGATATGCTGGCGTAAAACCCCAACCAATCAAGCCTCTAAAAATAAAAAATCAAACAGCAGAGATAACGACCAGCTGCCTTAGTCGTCGCCTGCCGTGGATATGGCAAGCGTTCTTCTGGAGATTTCCATGTGGAGTTGCTTTACGAGGTTGATCCAGGCACCAACGCTTTGCCCGTCTATTGTCACCCAGTCAACGACTGTTGCTGCTGGTTGTTCATACCATTCGTCAACCTGCAAGTAAGGGCAATATTGAAGTAAATGCTATGGTACTACTTCATACATATTTGAGCTGACATGACACATGATCATTTGCACATATGGGTGGTTCGTTGCAGTAAGAGGTTCTAACACAACGGAAAGTATGGACAATTGAACTGAAATGAGTTCCCTCAAGAAAGATGCGTGGAATAGAGTATTCCTCTCCTACACACAAAAAGCAGGTGTTGAAGGGGAACATCCCTCTCCAGGACTGGACTGGGAGTCCTTGCTAGGCCATAATCATTGCTCATTCAATCGCAACACAACTGCATTGCTATTATCTCATTGAAGTCTGGCCCTCGGATTGTGTTCTTACAGGAATTGAAATGAAGAGATAAAGTTGTAAATACAAGGTAGCATATACTTACCAAACCCCTAACACGTCGGCAATCCTCAAAACACCTTTGAGCCTCTTGAACTGCGTTTCTCAGTTCTGGCAACCACCTTTCTGATACCATCTTTTCTTGTTCACCAGCTAATTTAAGACAGTAGTTGGCCACCCTATATAAAGGAAACATCAGTAGCCATTCTTGAAACGTAGTAAGCTGGAATATAGATTCATTCCACCAAATATAAGATATTCAAGACCAATAAAAAAACACAGGACTACTTGTGATAAACAAGGGCATCCCAAATTGCAATTCCTGGATTGTTTTAGATAGACATCAGCTGCACAATAATTTTATTTCACTGCGTATCAGCATACTAAATAACATTTTGTGGACTTGTCATCAATTCAAAATTAAGAACAAGTCTTCAGTTCATGAATCCCAATGGTACACTGCTCAATTGGTAAATGTTACAGCTGCCACATGCATTACACAGTGAACAAAATGTATTTGAAACGCATGTTAGAATTCTTTTCAATAACAAAACCCCTACTTCCAAGAGAAAATATGTACTGATAAAAAATACCCGAAATGAAATACTATTTTCTGAGGAACAAAATTGCAGGAACCGAACAAGTCGACAGAGGATGGAAGGGAATACAAACAAACATTGGCACCAGTCCTACAAACTATACCGACAATCACTGATACACAAGACATCTCCTTTATGTTACAGTTCTAGCTGGATTCAGTAAATATCTATTGTGAAGAAAGACAAAGATTAAGTAAAATTTCAGCGTACCTTTCATATTCCTGTTGAGCACGATGTGCTCGGTTCAGCAAAACACGATCATTCTCAACCAGATTTCTCCGCGTGTGCACCAAATTAATAGCCTTTGATAAATCCTCTAGTATACTAGCTTCAGAACCACAAGGTTTTAGGCAGAACTCCAGTGAATTTAGAACTGATGCCAAGCCAGAATCAGTGCCTTCTGTACCTGGTGAAACTGTTAACAAAGACACCGTTAACATGTGAGTATACTCTATACAATCAAATAGAGAAATGTGAAAGCAGTTCCACAAATGAAAAACAATAGATGTTAGTAGATGTTATTAGTGGATGCACTCAACAACAAATAATAATACCTACTTGGCTCAAGGCTTCATACCCAAGCCAAGAGCTAGAGACCACCATCTCCACCAAGTGGAACACATTTTGGCTTAACATGTTATATAATATCATAATCACACTTTTTTTCTTGAACTAACAACAATAACAACAGCAGTGAACTTGCCAGAATTGTACTGAAGAGCAGTAGAGATGCGGCATATGGATGGCACAGCAGATGGATCTCTGGCTCCAGCTCGTGCAGTTAACAAAGCAGCATGTTTCTCTGCAGCTGCAACTGCTTCTGATCCTGTAGCACCATTGGAGCCCAAAGCCTCCAAAAGAGCCTGTGAAAAAGAAACCACAGCAGTGACATAAGAGATTGAAGGAGTCAGCAGATCAGAAACACATGATGGCTCTTATAGCCTTCATTCTGCTAGCCTGCTCGCTAAGACAGTTAACACTGTAATGTTACCAACCTGAGGAGTTGCTGGCAACCTGCATAAGCTGTTATCCAAGCTCTGACCAAACGCAGACAATTCTCGCTCGATGAGATCCCTTGAGTTAGTTGACATGTCTACCACAGCATTACAAGCAGGGATGATTGTTCTTGACGCATATCCTCTTGCAGATAATGGCTGTTGCTCCCAAAATGTTGATGCCTCCTATATATAGCAAGTTTGGCAACATCTTTCAAGAAGTGATCATGCCCATTGTATTCAATTATTGAGACATATATCAAGAGTAAGAAGAGTGTAAGACCCAAATCCATGAATCCCCACCTAAGATATTTCTAATAGCTCCTAGTTTCCTATGGTGCTACCTTCATAAAGCTGCCAAGCCACTATAATGAACATAATTATGACTTGAGCTCACTACGCTGCTGTATTAGATGGAAAGTTACTAAAATGGCAACCAGTAACCATGCTGGAAAGAATGTTGATAAGTAACTGCTTCTATTTCTATATTCATGTCTATATCTAAAACTTTCTTTAAAAAATTGAATAGCGAACTAAGTAAAGAGCTAGTAAGGAAAAGTACAAAGGCTCCAGACTAACCATATTGGCCCGCAGAAGAGCATTGTAAATGCACTCAAGTTCTGATCTACGAGCATCAAATTCTTCTATTTTCTTCCACTTTTTCTTCAAGGAATCTTCCGCTTCTTTCCACTCAGCACATAACTTGTACAGACGCTGTACCTCAGAAGTCAGTGTATTCAAGCTTGCCTTTAACCCAGCAACTTCTCTTTCCTTCGCCCAAACATCGAGCTAAAATAATGCAGCAAACAGACAACAGAGCTATCAGGAAAAGATGAGACCTTTGTGCGTGTGTGTGATATTGAAATTGAAAAGATAATGCACAATTACATAGCTTACAAGCAGCAAGCAAATGCAGCTTCCACAACAGAAATTTTGCTACAGTTTATACAAACAATACAAGCTAATAGATTCGGGTACTGTTAGTATCATAGAATGCACAAACACATTATAAGCACCATGAGAATTTCATAGTCATATTTAGCTTAATCATGAACTCAAAACGTAAACATGTTTCATAAGCCATGACAATGTTATAGAGATTATGCTTATCTGATATTCTTGATAATACGAAACTGGAGTACCAAATTGAAGATCTTGGAAACTTGTGTGCATATTACCATTTTTTCCTTTTTTTTAGAGAATAAATGTTATGACTGCTGCTTTCTCACTGTAAGTATTAATATTAATTTGGAAGGAAGCATCTTAAATTAAATTCATTACACCACAGTGGAATCTTGAATAAGTACCTCCAAGTGTCTGCTGTTAGTCATGTTCTGTGAGGTGTTCCCAGTAGGCATCTTTTTACTTCCTGCCGCATCACTAGTGCCATGAAGGCGTTGCAAGAGCTTCTGGCTTTTAGCTTTAGCTTCAGCAGCTTTATTTAAAGCATCTTCTGTGGCCAAGAATTGCTGAACATGTTCTTTCTGCAAGGTAAATAAATGTTATGTGGAAGTTAACTTCAGTGACATGTACTTCATTTGAGGTGGTAGGCATAAGGCATTAACACAGAATTTTACTAGCCTGTGGAGAAAGAAGAGCTTGATGAAATCATGCAGCTTCTTTTTTTTTATCAAGAGGAAAGAAAAAACAATCAAGTACAGGTGTGAAATGTCTAGAAAAATAAATAAATAAACAACCCTAGATAACAACCTAAAACATAGTTTGACATTTTCGAATTCTGAGTGCATATAGATGAAGTAATGTTTTCTGAAGTTTATCGATGAAGTATTGTAATCCTAAAACATAAAATGCAAAGTACATATATTACAATTCTTGAAAGGAAGTGAAAAACAAGAAGAGAAGCACAAATCCAATAGTAACGATAGCAAGGATATTGTTTTCCTGCAAAGGTTGTGATAAACAACAATAGGAGCAATAAAGTGCATCTTAAGGGAGAACCTGTCTTTCCAGTAGCTGGTCATATGTTCCGCGGGTTGACAGCTCTGATCCAGTCTTTCCATTGCCATATACTTGATATGGCAAGGGTGAGCTTGCATCAGTTGAAGCAGCATCAATGACCTGCTCATTTTCATATTTATACCTAGAAAAAAATTGTATAACTGGTT